GAAGGAACTCAGAGGAAATCTAATATTTATAGGAAATCAGTGTACAAAATTTGGGTTGCGGTTTACCCCTCGTTAGGCACTCATTTTTAATAGATTCTCAGGTCTATTAAATATGTCATGTTCAAGGCTTGTCAAAATGACATTGTTAGTGGGGACCAAAACAAGCACTTCTGGTTGCAAAGTGTCTCGCATGAGAAGTAAGTTCCGAATACTCCCAAAATTTACCTTTCGTTTTTTAATTCTTTACTATCACATACCTATATTACCGTTCAGGTTTCGTAACTTCTTTTTCAAGTTTCTTACTAAAGAAGAAACGCCCATGAACGGATTGTTGAGATACCGGATGGTTCAAATTCGTGGCTTACCATTGAGATCTCGGTAACGGTCAGAGATACAGTGTAGGATATATTGGCGGAAAGTTGCTTCTTTTTGTGACCAAAGAACGCATTTGAAATTTTTGAAAATTATTTGAAAATATCTTCAAAACTGAAAATGTCAAATTTCGTTTTCATTTTCCTTAGCTTAAACGGTCGGAAATGGGCGGTTCCCGTTAGCATCTTCTATGGGCGCTTTTCTTTTCGAGAATCTGAAACTGTTATCAGTATTTCCACACCATGCTAGATGTAGAACAGTACTACTTTCTTATGGGCGCCATATTGAATTTTTACAGAATAACATATGATACAAAAAATAGAAAAAAATCAAATGTTTTACATTCATTTTTTAAGAATTAAAAAAATGAGTTATTTTTTGCGTTTTGTCCGTCCGTCCGTCCGGACCCACTTCTGCTGTTTTGAACTACTTCTAGGGGAATGGACTTAGAGTCCTGGATTTTTTTGCAGTAGATAGCGTATACCTTGATGGTGTGCCAGACGCAGAGGGGGGGAGGGGGTGGAACTAGTTTTATCCTTCATGGTACTCTAATGAAAGGTCTCAACGAAAGGAAAAGGGCGATTGAGACGTCTGCAAGAAATATATTCATTGGTAATGTCAAAACAAAAGCTATTTCGGTTGAAAAAGTGCGCTCTATCTGCACAAGAGTTGTGCACAATTTATACTTGTTTATTATTGAATACATTGGTGCTAGTATTTTTGGACATTGTTTTTATGTGTTCAATTAAAAAATTCGGTCAAACAGGAAGTGAATTCTAAAGTTTTACTTGAATTTGAAAAAAAACGGTTCATAGATCAAAATGTGTAAATTCAATCATAATGCTAAACCGAGTTTTGTTATGAAAATCTGTTAGTTATGCGAGATTATTGCCTTGTAAAGTATTATTATATTTTTAATTGAGGTCAGGCATTCTCTATAATTCGCCGGAACTTGATTGTCTTGATTCTGACGTGCAAGTGGTAACCTTACACTTCGTTACTTAGCTTTGTGAAATAGCATCAGACGTGCAGAATAAGAGCGACTGAGTAGTAAGGGAATATCGTTAGACTATAATATAAATATTTTGACAGTGGTATTGAATTAACAAGTTCGAGAGCAATCGAGTCGCGTTAAGTCATAAAGAATACTACTACAAAAAATACAAACAAACAAAATACAATAAAAAAAAGGAGCAGCTAACTATCTCAAAGGCGAAAAGAAAGGTCTAAACAGCATTTACTTGCATTTTAAAATCTATGAATAATAATAATAACAGTTTTTATTTGTTTTGTGCATAAATAAATAAATAAATACATAAATACATAAATAAATCTATAATGTATACTTTGGAAAAATAAGACTTTATACAAAAATGAATTACCCAGATGTCCAAAATTCAGTGTGTGTGGGCATATAAGCAAATAAGCTTCTTAGGAAAGTGATATAGGTCCGTGGTGGAAGGTGGGTTCTAATTTCTTTCTTAATTTTAATGCACGAAATATGAAAAATAAGCCGAATTAAAAGCAAACGAGTTTTAATTGATATATTGCTCTCAATCTGTACAAAAACTGTTTTCATATTTTCTTTTATTGTTAGTATTTTTGTAAGCAATGTAATTTTTTACGTGTAGTTTTGGTTACACTTTATAATTTTGTTTAGATTATTTCAAATTTTAAGGGGCGTTAACTCATATTGAATTAATCGAAAGTAGTTGGATTTTTATCCAGAATTCCAGAACTTGCAAAATTTGTTAAAATATATATAAAATCAAGCAAATATACAAAACACCAAAACAAAGCATAAGGTCAAAGATACAATATTGAGGTTAATGGAATAGCATTGAGAATAATTGTTGTTTATTAATAGGGGATACAGTGCAATAGTGTTTACATTATTATCATGATGTCATACGTCATACACCAAGTGTTGTGTAATCTGACTAACCGATAAATTGGGTTAAACATTTGACGAATCGTGTTATCAGCAAGCTTTGGATCATTGGCATTGACATTATATTTGCTGCGATCTCTATCAAAGCAGGATATGCAAGACCAACGTACATTTTAATAATTTATAACTTAATTAGAGTTGCGCATGTAATAATAACGCAATGGCACGGTATTTTTACAGGAAATTATTCATTTTTAAGAAAAGATTGATATTGCAGTCAACAATGCATTCAAGCGAACTCTCCACTTACACAGTCCACCAACTTTTAAAATTTTAATCAATCATAACCTCGGTCATAGCCGTGCTAAACTAAGTCCGTGTGACGCAACTGAGGAGATTTTGATAAGCTTTCACTACAATTTCACAATAACAACCACAGGATCTACATTTCATTTCAGTTCACATCATTGCTTCTTCACTCGCCCCCCTCACTAACCTCTCTAATTACTTCACATTACTTCGCTTCATGTTGCCTCGCCTTACCTACTTCACATCGTCTTATACTTCACCTTACTTTAATGCATTTCACCTATAACTAACTGTCTCGCTGAAGGTGTAGTTTAATGTGAAAATCGAGTTTCCCAGATTGATTGTGTCTCTACGAGAGATTTAAAAATAATATACTCAGTACATTTGAATCTTACGGGTTTCTTAAGTTTCTCCAAGTTGTTCTAAAATTTGTCGCAATGCTTCTCGCCCTTTCGGGCTAAAAGTACCTCCTCAATTCACTCGAAGTTCATATCAAAACCCTATTAAATTTCCGTTAAGTTTCCCTAAAATTTAGAGATTCTTTCCAGTGCATCTTATTTCCATCCTCGTCCAGCTCGTCTCCTTCATCTTTTCCCTAAGGTCTTCATATTCTGTTGAAGTTTTTCCGAAGTACTCCCCAAACTCCATTCATGCTACCTCTAAGTTTCTCGCAATTAATAAACTCTCCTTACGTTCCTCATACACCTCCCTCAAATCTCTCATCCATTTCTACTCAATCGAGTTTCCTTGTAATTAACTATAGTTGACAGTGAGCCCAGAAAGGAGCCTCGACTTTGGTTCTGTGAATCATAGAACATTTCACTGCAACTGTTAGTGTGGCCAAAAACGAACCTTAAAATTTTGCTTCTGTAGAATACATTAAATCTCCTAATACCAGTTCCGCGTTCTCGTGGATTGTCGGTCTCGAGTACTGTTATTTATCGCTCTTTCGCAAGTAGACCGAAAATTAGGGGCTCAATCAACGAAAAGAGTTAAGAAAACCTACCTAAGTAATGACAGAAAACTCGGAACCATTGTCTACGTTCGCACCCAGGTGAGTATGTCCTTCGATGCAGCCCTTATCAAATTTAGTAGCAATTCAACCACAAATTGTTCAGATGAAGAGTTGCGAAAATTGATTCTTACTAATGCATTCCCTTGCGCCTAAAGTTTTCCAAATGACAAAAGCTTGGCATTCTTTAATTTATTGTGTTGGCACAAAATGCCATTTGACTATTCTGAAACGCCCGTTCGCTTTCTCATTGCCGAGGGAGATTGTTTCTTCTATAGCGCATTATTTATTGTAAGATGTTTGTGTGGATTCTAAATGAAAAATGTTAATTAAGGAATAAACTTGATTAATCCTTACGATGTCTTTATTTTACTTTCTTTCTGTGCTACTTCAAATAAAAGAACCGACAGACGACGGCCTCTAAAACTGTAACTTAAAATACCCCAAGACTCAACGTAAAAAATTTAGGGCCCCAACACTTTTATCTAGAAGGTAATAAACAATGCATTACACCCTGTCTCACTACAATACTTTAAAGATTCATTGGAAAATATTTGAAGAACCTTGGCCAGAATCATTAGAATATTCTTAAATATCACATAATTTCGAAAACTACCCCAAAACATATTTAAAAACCTTGCGAATAATTTCTGATAAATAATGATTAATATGTACACTTTTCAATCTATTATGAAGTTCTGATGCTGAAATCACTTAGCGTGCTTGATGAATTATCTAAAAGTCATTGAGAAATCTATTTTTTTTTACCAGGTGCAGTTTTAGCTGATTTATTATTTATATTTATAACAATATTAAAATGAATTGATTTATAACAGTCAAAATATTATTTATCACTTACACATGCACAATGTATAACAGCGAGAACTATTTATTACTTCTGGGTTGAAATTGGAAGTAACTGAATCCCAATTGGATTATTTATATAGTAAACGCCGGTCTTTTACGAACCCTTCCGAACGCTCTCGAATGTTCTAGCACAAAACACATATTTCTCGAAAAGATTGCTTCACATCCGTATTCGTTCTTCAACGCCGATGACTAATCTTTCATGGTGTCGCAATGTCTATCGGGATTTCCGGAACATTCGCTACAATAAGAATAAAATGGACGCATAAGAGAATTGAAATTATCATAACTCAAATAACATAAAAACATAAAATGGAGGTGTGGAAAGAATCTTACAACATCCCGTATTTTATTTGAGTGATTTGATAATCATAAAAATTTTTCAACTTTTTTGATACGACAAAAAATAGCACACCTTAAACACAACATTATTAAGAAATTGGGTATAACTTTACGGATCTACAAATGTAATAAACCTCAAATTAAACTGATTTATTAGCATTAATTGTATGTAATTAATTTTTTTCCCTAATAGTAATTATGTTTCAGAGCGTGGAGAAATCGAGCCGCACAGAACCGATGACGCTTTCCTACTACGATTTCTTAGGGTAAAGAAGTTTAACATTCGACATGCTTATAAGTTGGTAATAATTACAGTTTAAAATTTTAATTTTAGTGTAACTTGCAGGTTGTATTTCAGATACGCAACTATTACGAATTTAAAGAAGCCAACTCGGAATTCTTTGAAAACGTAGATTTGGAGCATCTCCAGTCAGTCGGCGACGCTGGCGTTATAACTGTGCCACCGTATAGAGACCAGACTGGTCGACGAGTACTTCTCTATCGCTTAGGTAAACGACGCCGACGGTAGCTATAACTACAATCACTTCATTGTATTTCAAGGCTTATGGGATCCGAAACAATTTACCACCACCGAGCTGTTTCAAGCGACAATGTTAATTCTGGAATTGGCAATTTTAGAACAGCGCGCGCAAATTCTGGGAGGAATAGCCATGTTTGATCTCGGCGGACTAACTATGCAACATTTCTGGCACATGAGTCCTGTAATTGCTAAGCAAATTTTTGATATTATGGTGGTAAGTAAATTCACTTTTACTTTCTACATTGCGAGGAATTTTATAGCACGTGCTTATAGACTTCGTTTCCGATGAGAATCGAATGTGTACACATCGTAAATCAGCCGTGGATTTTTGAAATGATTTTCAACTTCTTTAAACCATTTTTGAATGATCAGATGAGAGCGAGAGTCAAAATTCACGGAGAGAACATGGAGTCGTTACATGAGGATATCGAGCCACAATTTCTACCTAAAAGGTATGGAGGTGTTCATCCAGATTATAATTACACCGATTGGATAGACTATTTTAACGCAACCGAACAAATCGGCAAAGAATTGAAGTCTTTAGGGTATACTGCGAGAGTAGTAGAAGACGACGGGGATAGATAATGGCACCAACTATAAATAATTTTATAGTATTTTTGTATATTTTGTAAATTTATAAACACATAATGTAGCTGTAGATATACCCATGTGATATTGACAATGAATAAGGATAATCAATGTCTAAAAATAAAAGTACATATTTTAATTAACGGAACATATAGATAGACTACTCCTAGAGCAACAAAACGGAAATACGGATAAATTGTAGCTGGTATACTTGTCACTAACTTTCTTTAACACACATTGCATACGGTTACAATAAATTGCCAACCAAATGGCTTAAATATAATTTTAACTATACAGGCTGATTCAAATTCGAGGGCCACCCCAACCATAAGGATCTCGGGAAATGTAAGAGATAGGTATGTAGTTTAAATTTGGAAAAGTGGCGTTTTTGGATGCTTAGCAAAATGCAGTTTTGAAACTGAAAACATTCCGACTACTTTCCGGAAAAAAACGAAATTTGAAAAATAGTTTTAATTTTTTACTGAAGTTATTTAAAAAGATCTTTCGAAATAAATGACACATATTATGGCCAATTTTTCCCTCTACAAGATCTAGTTTTAAATTTTAAATCCGACGTTTCGTCTCCGGTTAACCATCATCAACTTTATTTTTTCTTATGGAAGTAATTTTTACTGCTTTATGTCAGTTGATACAGAATTGTTTTCTGATTTCAAAAATGTAAACATGCTTAACACTTATCTAGCTCTCAACTTTACACACAAATTAAACCTCGTTACAAAACTCTCATTTTCATATAAGGCTTATTTATTTATTTATTTAAAGAACAATCTTAATCTCAGGGTCCAGCTGGGTTCCAAAACGCTGGAAAATCTCAACACTGACTTAACCAGAAATTGAAGTTCCGGACATCCGTCATTCAAATGAAACAGACCTATAAGTTTTGACTTGAACCCGAAATTGCCAACGATTAACTCGACCCAAAAGAAATTTGCAGTGAACAATAAAAATAATTTGTACTTTACAGATACGGTAAATGATGAAAAAATACACTTATCACAGAATTATTTTAACGCAAACTTTCTACTTTCTTCTCTTACATCACCAGCCCTAGTCCCAAGATTGTAAATTTATAAAGAAAAAAGAAAGAAAACATTACCCCAAATTGTAAACCACTACATAGACTCCAGCTACTTTTAATTCTGTTGCTGCATCGAATAAAAACTCTGCAGCTTTCTCTTTTTCGCTTGAATAAAAGACAGCCATGCTCTGCTTTTTTCCGCAACCAATAGAAAGGCTTCATTCTTGTGGAAGTCGGATTGTGCACATCCCGCTAAAACATTTCCAATGGCGCAGCTTGCGTTATTCTCTTTAATAGAATGCATAAAAGCGGGAACAATGAACAAAGGACGAAGATGAGTAATAAATTACTGATGTAACTGTTATCCTCTTCTATGCAAACTTTCTACATTATCTTATGTCGCTGTTGAACATCTCTGATGTTATACGAGACAGGATCACGTTATTTAGCCCTACCGTATTTGGATTCTAGAACACACTCCAGGGAGATAGTGTGGCAACGCTCCTTAGTCGACTATTACCCCAGAAATAAACTCCTGGTGCTCATTTTTAAGAGAAAAACGCCAAAGATATTGTTCTTCCTTTAATATTCTTATATGGCCAAATGCGCATTTCTCACAACATTCGGGTAATTGAAAAAAAAGAATAAATACGCAGGTAACTCATAAAAAATGTTGCAGAGTAGTTGGGATTGCATATAGACAGTGACATGCGTTTTAGTAAACATGTGTAATGATTTACTTTATATTACGAAGTATTATTATTGTTTACGGTTTAGCGGAAATCCCCCCGTAACTTTTTAAACGATTTGATAGATGGCTCCATTTATTAATAGTATTAGCCGTGCAATTTTACCGCGCAGAATGCACGCGCCGTGATTTTTGGTGGTCGATTGCCACTTTCTTTTCCTTCATACGCTGTATCGAAATACACGTCGCTTAATAAAACAAGTCAAAGCGTAGGGTAGAATGCATGGAATTTTAATTGCCATCTTCCGCATATTATATTGATCTCTGGCGATTGGAATCATAATTTGGAAATTTCGAAGTAATTAGTTCGTGATTTGCCTGTACTCCTAGTGAGGATATATATTTGCGTTCTTCTTTTATTAACGTAAGTACCGCCATGTGCATTTCGCTTATTTAGAGTATACCTTCCTTAGGTTTCGGCTGTAATTTGTTGTACTGCAATTTTCATCGACAATTGTTAATTCATCTACTATTAGTCTTCTTAAGAGTCAAGGTAGGTAAATTTGATATAACGAAGAGAATTTATCTTTGATTTCTTTTAGGGTTTAAGTTTAAGTTCAAGTTCAGGCTCAAGTTCACGTCTCGGATACGTTTTACGTTACCTACTAATTCTGGTTCGAGGTACAAGTTTTGCAACCTTGAGTTAAATTCGCCGATACCTGCGGTTACCGACGCATTTGCTGTCATTTTGCTGTAAAATAGGTCACTCGATCATGAAGCAGATTAAGTATCAAGGATCGATCCTCATACGGGGCCACTTCCGTAACTCTTGTCTTACTTGTTAACTATTTTGCCCCTTACATGCGATTACATTTAAGTAATTTGTGAACATCAGTACCTACTCACTACTCAGAATCTTTGTCATAGTACCGTACTTGGTTTGGAAGTAGATTACGAGTAGAGCGAGGCACTTCAGGCATTAATCAACTAATTATAATACATACCGAGTGGTGCAGGGTAAGTAGGAACATAGAGATTTAAAGTGAGAAATTAGTTTTATGCAATATCACACCCCATGTACATTTTACAGAAAAAACTGTAGAGTTTAAAGTTGTTCAGAATTTAAAGGTGCATACAAAACTGTTTTTATATGTTTTATTAAGCTTTTGGTATACCCGCAAATTTAAAAAGAAATTTCAATATTTCTGTTATTAGTAGGAATGCAACAAACAACAAAAGTCATGGCTATTGCTATTTACAAGCGAACACTGCGAGAGATTCATTTTCTCTAAAGAAACAAGCAACGCGCACGATATATACCAAGGAAAGATCTAAAGAGAAGGAAAAATACGAAAAGGTATATTCGGATGATCTCTAGCGGAAGAACAATGAACTATGAAACACTTGACTAATTAATTAATTAATTTTACGTACATCTCCTGCATTCCTTGTTACTGACTGCCTAGCTGCTCTTGATAATGAATTTATAAAAGCTATTGGATCTGTTTGTAATATTGAAATGACTGATACGGTATCGTTACAGTCCAGTCTGCCTGTTAATAATAGTGGTTTGGGAGTCAGAAGTACGGAAAGATTATCTCTTCCAGCCTATTTGGCTTCGATCTTTTTCGTGCTTCCTGTCGTTTCTCAGATTATTGATTTCAATGATGCAGAATGGGTTTCTGATACAATTAACCAATGGAAGATACTTGCTGAATCTCAAGAACCTGTTGAAGAAATTCGTCACATCCAAAAATCTTGGGACACTCCTTTGGTTGAAAAGTTATTCGATCAATTGTTCAATAAATTCGTCAATGATCCAGTACACCAAGCAAGGCTGTTAGCACTGAAAGAAAAAGAGTCAGGCGCTTGGTTACAAGCTCTTCCTGCAAGGCAAATCTCCACACATCTTGAAGATTCTGTTTTGCAGATAAGTGTTGCTTTACGCTTAGGTGCTACAGTTTGTACTCCTCATATTTGTAAATGTGGTGCCAATGTGGATAAGTTTGGGCATCATGGTTTATCTTGTCAGAAGAACACAGGAAAGTACAGTCGCCATCGAAACATCTTAGAATGTCAGAAAAGAGCATTCCATGAGGCTGGTTATTCAGTCATCTTAGAACCTCCTCGTCTTTTTGGAATTGATAAAAAACGACCCGATGGGAGAACTTTAACACCTTGGATGGAAGGAAGATGTCTGGCATGGGACTTCACTTGTGTTGATACCTTATGTCCTTCATATCTCTTCTCCTCGGTGAAGAAAGCAGGTTCTGCAGCCGCTTTAGCTGAACGCAGAAAAAAAAATACTTACGCTGCTTTAGAACCTACATTTATTTTTAACGGATTCGCTGTAGAAACCATGGGTCCGTGGGGAAATGAAGCCAAAATGATGACAGCGGCAATTGGTAAAAGACTCAGGCAAAAAACAGGAGAGTCCCGCTCAACCCAGTTTATTTACCAACGGATAGGTATAGAAATTCAAAAAGGCAACGCCGAATGTGTTTTAGGAACTTTACCTTTTTTTAGTAATTCTTTTGATGCAATTTATTATGTTTTAAAACCCCGTTCTTATATGTAATTTGTTCTTGTTCTATTATTTTCATTAAATAATTTGTTTCTTTTCAAAAAAAAAACTAACAAAACTGACTACAGCGAACTTGCACGAGAAATACACATATGGCATAAAGGCATTGGGATTCTGGAAAGACAAACCATATTTGTCAAAATCAGAGCGCTATGAATAAAAGTATGAAGTGACCGAGTAGGTGTTAATTTTCCGAAATTGGAGAACCCGTCCCTTCATGACAAACTCACTCTATTCTTGATCTACCTTTAGCTTTGAATGGTACTCTTATCGAACGCCCAGAGTTCTGTATAACCACAGATATTTATATCTGTGATATAACAAAACACGAATTAGGGAGATATCATACGGCAGGAGTGGTGTATACATAGTGATTGTAGCTTCTGTGCCCCTTTTTCCGTCTGCCTTGGAAATAGCAGGTAAATGTATCTCTGTAATAATACCAGAGTAAAAATATACGCAGTATGCCCAATATACTCTGTACCCAAGACCCATTCATATACTGTATTGCTATTCCAATAATTTCTCCAAAGGGGTACAAAATCGTTACTTAGGCACTACATTGTCAGATGGGGTGTAGGTACATATTATATCGCTATTAAAAGAAAACACAATCAATATTTTTTAAGGTTTACAGTGCTTACTTATTTCAATCCTCTCGAAGATACTTTATTAACGATCCTCGAGATCGTTTATAATTTTGTATTGCTGTCTGTCTGTCCGTCCGTCCGTCCTTCCGTCCGTCTGTCTGTCTGTCCGTGTAGAAACCTCCGATCGCTTTGCAAATTGATACAGATGTTCTTCGGGATATATGAAAGATCGCTATTGTTTTTTGGCTATGTAGACTAACGGGCCAAAAAGTTACCGCCCAAAAAGTGCCCAAACCTCTCTCTCTTATAACTCTTGTTACAAAGAACATATTATGAATGTCAGGTTTTCTGTGTTAGTACATATTTCTTAAACTTCCGGCAACTATGCAGGTGCAAAAAATCTTGCGCATGCGCATTACAACTTTGATATTTGCGCAATCCCAATTTTTTTTATTAGTTACGATATTTAATGGAAATTTTGTACTTAAGCACCTCGAATAAAAGTAAAACTAGAGCCGAATCAAAAAATTTGTTTTGCGCATGCAAATTAATGCCATTCAAAAGTTCGTTTCACAACCATGCTGATCTGGTGGGATAGAATCAACCCCTTAAGGTGTATTGTAAAAATGATGTATGTGTGAAGATCTCGACGATTCTTCGGTATTCAGTTGTATCGGATTTTTTTGTAGTACTAAAAGGTGTGTTTATCCCTCCATTTTCACGTAAATATTTAGGAACAACCCGTCAGGATTATCATGTGAAGCAGCAAGTAGCCATGGAAACTTAAACGCAATTTCGTGTTTAATCACTCTGTGAGAACTGAAATTGTTTAACAGAATCTCGTGTTCTCATTTACGGCACGCTACCTTGACCCTACGGTCGGTCGGCACTTAATTTTAATTTTCTCTCATTAGTGCAGTTTCACAATCTGAGCAGGTTCATTAGACAATAATTTATAACAGCGATTCAGAAAAAATTGTGATAAATTTTGTGCACGCTGAAAATATGCAATGGAAGCCAACGCGTCGCTCGATGAAATTTCCATTCATTTGCTACAATTACGGAAGGTACTTGAAGGTAGAGGAAATGTTACTTTAATTCGATGTTTCAATGTAAGTCTCCTAGGACACGACATTCTAAGAAAATTTGAGTTTGATGAAAACTATCTGGTTAGGTTTTTGCTTGGAACCAATTTCCATGTACCCGACGCGTTGAAAAGGGTGAGCTTAAGAACACATTATCAATCAAATCTCATTTTTACGCTAAAAGGCGCAAAGTTTGGACAAAGCGTTTTAGTTCTCTAATCTGATTAAAAAAAGTAAATACACCAAAACCATAATTTTGAACTATTGCATTTTTCGTGTTTTTTTAAAAATTCTTGAATAGAGTGAGTATCTTGGGAAAAAATAATTGACTATGTATTATAATTGTATTGCATTATGTAGGGTTGGTACGGGCGTCTGGTGGAACTAGTTTTTAGTTCATTATTTACAAGCTACTCCTAAGCGGTTCTATCAAGTATAGGTAGTTACAAGAACTTGGTCCCATGATTTAAATATGTATTCTGTTTGTCATGTCTTGTCTGACGGTTTGACGGTCTGGTGTTGCGCCTGTGTCAGCTGTACTTACCGAATGGTGTCGGTAAATTTGTAGTAGGTGTGGAGTAATGATTGGGATAAAGTTTTCCGCGAGGATTATCTGTCGTGGGTCCCTTCTAGTGTCGTCTGTGGTTCGTAGTTCCCGTCCAAAGATAAGATGCCTCTGAATTATTCATGGTCTGACACTTGGCGGTGTTCATTGCAAATCGGACTGCGGGTTACATACAGTGAGTTTTTTTTTAAATGCGAAGATAGGAGTTTGCATGCAATGTAATTTCCCTATGTTCGATTTAAAAAAAAACACATCAATCTATGAGATGTGCGCGGTTGACATTCCCAAAACGCGCAATTTGTGTGACTATGAACAGCAACTCATAGTCTTTATGATGAAGAGCACTCGGTAAGATTCTTTTAATTAAGCCATGTGAGGCCATAGCAACTTTAGGAAAAATTTTTCTTAAACTTACGATAACTTGACTTCACATGGCACGCGCTGACATCACAATTCATTGTGAACCAACCATCAATTATTTGTAGGTCATTTGCACCTGGTATTCTACTAATTTGATCTATTCAATACATAAATGAAGAAAATAAGAAAATAAATAACGAAAACAATTACAATAAATGTACGAAGTGTCCTCCTTGCATTGTAAGCAATAACCTAATTGATTTCGTAATTAAGTTGGACGGCGGTATTTTAAAAAATCTGACAGCTGTCAATTGCTTAGAGAAGGAAAAGGTCAATTGTATCTACTACTCATTTGAACTACTCAATAGATTGATGTGTTTTTTTTTAAATCGAACATTATAGGGAAATTACATTGCATGCAAACTCCTATCTTCGCATTTAAAAAAAATTCACTGTATCTGGTCATCGGGAATGGTCGTCTTCAACAGATATGGCTGGGGGTGATATACGGGGCTTAACGCTTGGTGGCTGCTAAGGGACAAGGCGATATGATGCAAAATATCACTGACAAATGGCCTATTAAGTGGTGATCGGGCCTTGATTACGACCTCCTCCACAGTATTTGAGTCTGGGGACTAACAATGCAAGATTCCCTGGCTCATAAAGTAAACACGAGCGGTCCATCTAAAGATGGGGCTGATCTGGGCTGTTTTGTGGAGTCTCGAAACATGGGATCAGAGACTTGCTATAACTAGACTGCGCTTAACGTATCTAAGGTGTTGTCGACACAGTATGCAACACACAATGCACCGCGGGGCAAAAATCGCTGAGATGATATGCAATACAATGAAATAAGCCGTTATTTTAGATGTTCCGTTCATTAATCATTCTCGTGATTAGCTCGAATTAGTGAACAGATACATTTCTGTTGATAATAAACCAATAAACTTAGGTTAACTTGTGCTTATCAACATGTACTCTGTCGATAAATTTTTAAATAATATGCTGATTTTCAACGGATACAAGTTTAAAGGGCCAATGGATCAGAGCCATTCGAAGAGAAAAATTTACTCCCACCATAGTGCATTTGCGGGGAATGAAGCCGATTTTAGAAAGATACCTACGAAGGTGTTAAAAAATAATGCAATACCGAGCGTTTTCGACTTTCCCATTCACTTAAAATAACGTAGAACTATTATTCGACATCCTTTACCAGCAAGACAACGGCAATACCTATTTGCCTATTAGGTATAGACGTAACTAAGTACTTACTGGTACTAAGTATATTTCAGGTTTTGTTACAAGAAAAATAGCTAAGTCTGTTAAATGTTCCATATGTGCAGATGCGATATTCGCATCAGAGAGTCATTCAAAGCTTTTAACTAGAAAAAATCGTGGAGGATTGTTGCACGTATCAAGCGATGCATTAAAAATTTGCCAAATTGCTGAAAATGTGTTCAGGTTTTTCATTCAATCCACACCACACCGCGTTGTAAACAAAATGGTTATCAGCAGTCTAAGAAAAATAAATAACAGTTACAGCCCATTTGGGTTTTTGGATAAGCATATATTGAAACAAAATCCGCTAAATAATCATATCTTACTACTTATATCTTTAGTTTTAAGAGTATATTTTCCCATACGTGTTCACCACTAAAATACACATATAAATCAAATTAGGACTAGAGTAAGGCAGTTATATACCAATTTAGTTCAAATAAAATACCAACAAATTCGATTAAAATAGTTAACAGCTATATGTTATCTTTTTTTGCTACTAAAATTTAGAATAAACATGGCTAAAGCAAGCTGCAGAACGTACGTCTGCCCCGCGATGAACAGTTGGTTGCCTATCCTATCTTGACAACAGGCGTTTATAGTAAAATCTACGTTACGCGCGGTCTAGTTATAACAAGTCTCTGCATGGGATGATCTTCTTTTACTCGGGATCGTTTAGCTAGGCTTACCTGATGTCGGAAGGTGAACGTGTAGGATGTGTGTGCCGGATATGGCGGTCTGCATAGGGTGCCTGTCAGTGTCAGTGTCGATTTAACTTTTGAAAAGCATTTTCTTGACTTCCGTCCATTCATAGCGGAGATCGTTCTTTAAGAGTTCAATCAGAGGTTGGGATACTCAAGCAAATCCGAGCACGGAACGGCGAAACCACGAACACGTTTGGATAAAGGTCATGAGATGCTTAATGTTTCTGGACTATGACTGGGATCCATGAGGGTCTATTGGGTGTGATATTTCCTAGGTAACCGACCTGATCACACGCTATAAGTGGCACATCTGGCGTTGAACACGTCACTGAAATTGCCCAAGCCGTCGAAATACCAGGTTTAGGTCCTTGAGGGTGTTGTTCGGTACTTTTGGTATCTCGCTGCGAAAGCGATCCATCAGCCTCTGGAAACTGACGGGGGCGTTTTTAACCCGAACGGCATTTTTTTTAAGCCGGTATAACCCGAAAGGTGATACGATGGCGGTCTTATCCTTATCCTACGAGCGCATGGTAAATTGCTGATGCAGCGAGTCTTTGCTGCTTACAAAAGAACGTCCATGCCCGGTAGTTCCTCCCGTGCTTACAGAGTTTTTGATGCCTGGCCACCAGGTCCCAGCGGTGCGGTGTAGCAGAGTAGCAATCCTCTTCAGGGGGTGGGAGTTGCACCTATTATCGCAGTCCTTGTAGATTTGGACAGCGTTGAGGGAGGCGTGGACATGTTTGGCGCTGTTAAATCTCGATGGACACTGGAATAAAGGAATCTTTCTGCATATTGTGTTGTTTCTAATTGCCATCTCCCCTTCTTTACGTCTTTGGCTTCGTGTCTTGACCCTCTTGATGGCCCCATGTTCGGTGCCACTTATAGGGTGGAAAGAAAACCACATTATAGTTAGTAAAATGAATAAGTTTGCGTATCGGATTAGCTTATATTAATACCGTGTATGAGGTTCTGTTCTAACACATGACATTTGAGGTATAGGTATAGAGCAAGTGGGTAACTAGTTTTTCGAACCGCGGGTGTTTAACTAAGAATCATTTTCTACGTCTACGTTATGGGTGATTTAGATGGAGGTTGCTGCGCCAAAAAGAGATAAAAACAGGCAATGCAAGAGTGGCGCAGACCTCTATTTAAAACGCCTATAAACTAACATCATCCCCAGTTCACCGCTCGCAGTTTGCAATATACCCCACTTGCCACGACAAAGATGTATATAGGACAGTGTAGCTCAGTGGTAGAGCGTTAGGCTACATAGCCGGGACCTCGGGTGTTCGAACCTGGGCAACAAAGAAACAAAGAAACGAAGAAACGAGGAAGCGAGGAAGTGAGAAAGCGAGGAAGCGAGGAAACGAAGAAACAAACAAACAAAGAAAGAAACAAAGAAAGAAAGTGTGTTGTTCTTACGCAAGGATAAGACGCGTCCTTATCTGAAAAGAAAGAAAAAGAAGGCGATAATATTGTATCTTTCTAGTTTTTAGTATGGTTTGCGTTACTGGATCCAATTCCTGGGGTAGGTCTTCGAGCAGTTGGGTTAGGAGTATGGGAGGGAATTTGACTTCCCTTTTGGGTTTCCAGGGATGGGGTCCTCCTGTGTCGGATTTATTGCAAGGGATCTTGTCGTAGACCCTGTGGTGCGCAAATTTTGTTTTTAGGGATGCGAGTCTATGTGTGATTGGCTTTATATTTGCGTGTTGGATGGTATAGGTCGGAAGGGTAAAATGGATCCAGTCTGTGTATTTTGTGTAAGATGTTGCGTTTGCAGGCGGCAATTTGGTGTCGTTGATTAGAGGAGATGGTGCGGAAAAGGGGGACCATATAATCGATGAGTGGTCTGATGTACGTTTTGTAAGTGTGTTGTAAGTATGGAAGTTAAATGCAGCGGTTGTAAGTGGTGGAAAACAATGTGATTGCGTCTAGGGGAAGGTGGTGTATCAGTCCGGGTGGTGTATTGCGTCCACTTTTTATAGTGTCGACAAACGTTTGGGGAAGTATTGGCTGAAGAAGGGGACCGTCAGGGGGATGTTGAGGGCCATCTTGAGCTCGAAAATAAACTAGCGGTTGTGTGATTGATATGTTTCTTGTAAAAATGTCTGGCAAATAAATTTGCTTTGTCTTTGTCTGTGGATATTATGTTGCCTCCTTGGTCTGTTAAGTGGGTTTGCTGGACTTTTCTGTTGCCGGTGAGTATGTTGAACTAGCGCCAGTGTCGACGTCCGTCTCTGTACTCCAGAGCAGAAGTCACCCTGACCCATTTCTCTTCTGAATCAGTCGTGTCGTTTCCCGTCTGTTTAGGGAGTCAAGTCTGTTGTATTCTGTCGGCGAATGCTGATGGCGCTTTCGTTGCGTTTGAGTACAACTATGGCAATGTGAAAGGTATTTGGACGTGTATAACAATATTGCTACTTTTTATCAGTTTTCTTTTTCTCCTTATTTTACTAATTCCTTTATTGCTGCTGCCTTGGTAAAAAATAAGTAGTACATTTTTAGAGAGTAGCCATGAAAAATTATACAACACCTTTCCAACCCCCTTACAATTTCTAGTTTGCAATTTCCACACGTAACATTAATTAGGCGCGATTACGCAGATACTAGAATTTCACCTCCTCTTCCTAAGTGACTATACCTGGTTTACCACTGATGGTCCTGCTGACATAATTGAGATTCTTAATATGAACACCATGATTGGTTTACCGTTAAGAGATAAGGATGGAAGAAGTGTTATACTTGTGAAACTAGGTAGGTGTCATTGCGTACATATTAAACGTAATTAGTTCCTTAAATTGTAGGCAATTTGGATGTTTCAGTTGGGACAATGGTAATGCACGTGCATTTGTTTCATATGTGGGCCGAGCACTTTATTCAAGATGAGCTAAGCCTGTTGAAAGGGGTGTGCATTTTAATAGACGTCAACTCATTCTCGTGGGGAATGTTTAAATGGCTTACCCCTCACACTATAAAAACGGCTATTAGAATGGTGGAAAACTACCCTGTTAAAGAAATGACGTTTCACGTGGTAAATAAATCGTATCTGCTTCAAGCAGCTGTGAAACTAGTGTGGCCGCTTTTAAGTAGAGAAATGCAGTGTAGCGTCACCCGCCAAGCACGACCCGTGCTCGACCGGTCCGTTACAGCCCCTAACACAATAGAATATTTTTGGTTGGAATGTGGAAAAACCGACCTGAGGGAATAAACAATCCGAGGCCGGCAGTTACGCGTCGACCTCTCATACAATAAGGCTTGCTAATAAACAAGTTTCAACATCCATTCTTTTCATCTTTTTCCCGAAATACTTAGCCCCACAGCAGCAAAAGGTAAGTCTATTTTAACGAGTTGTATATTATTAAAGCAATTTCAGATAAAATTTCATTTTACGAATTGGACTTCCTTACATCAATTCATAGACCCATTGCATTTGCCGAAAGAGTATGGAGGGAATGGTCCAAATATCGATTTTAAAAGTCCTAAAAAGATGTTACTGGAAGAAGGTCATGCTGTGAGCGAAAGGTTACGAAAAAATTTCGTACTTCTTTCCAAGGTTTAGGATTCCATATTGAGTGAAAGATTTAAGATGGTATCCTGACAAATTACCAACAGGAGGGTTAATTGGGTCTACTCCCAAGTTGAACCACTCTCGGTGTGCTAGTGTTTTCATTCAAAGGGAATTTATGATGTGACATAAGTATTTTTAGCATCGCTTTGTTTTGCTCAATAAATATAGTACTAACGGCACCTTACAGACAGAATATGAATTTTTCAGAGTATAGAACCTGGTTATATGCAAATGCAAGTAGGTACTATTTTACCTCCAAAAGTCCCAGAATATTATTTAAAATCCATACTGCTCAAAATACTTTCTAATCGTATCTTCTGATAGTGTTAGTGATATTCCATTCGAAAAAGTGCATGTGAAAATATCATTTACGGAGCAGAAAAATTTTAAAAATTCGAAAAGCACGAAATCTGAAAGACAAGGCAAAATGAAACTCATTATGCAAAGCGAAATATGAAATATACACTAAAAGTTAGTAAGGTAAGAAAACGCAAAGCAAAAAATTCATAGAATTGATCAGAAACCATGGGAAATAAAGAACAATGGGGAGCGGTATACGAGTCTCATATCTCAAAATCAAGCAAATGGAAACCGTAATGTGTACTGCGTGGGATGGAAGTGATGGGTAGAGAAAACATTGCTGTCATCAGGAAAAGTTTAAAAATATATGATTAAATTTCAACGTACAAAGTGATAAAAAAAAACCGGTTTGGTTTTAAGGATGGGAGGGGAACAGAAACACATAAAAGTTTCTACATGATCTGAAACCTAAACTGCAACCGTCAGGTATATCAAAATTTTTCGGTCGTATAGGAGGGTTATCAAGTAATATGAACTGCTTAAGAGTAAGTACCTACCTGTGATCAAGAAAGATTGAAACTTTTAAACTAATATCTAATAAATTTGATGATAAGTTTTCCAACTTATTATATGATGAAAATTAACTGAGACTCAAAAAATTTTTTATTTTCTAACAGCTACGATTTCGACGAGAATGTCATCTTCAGGCCGAGCCGATCGTAGAAATCGATATCCGTTAGAAAATAACAAATTTTTTGAGTCTCAATTAATTTTCATCATAGATTAATAATCATTCAAACAAAAATGGAATCCCTCATGAACAAAATTTCCAACTTATGTGTTTGATGATGTTCTAAAATGATTGACACATGTGACTACAAAAATTGATACCTGATGCTCGCATTTTAGGTTTCAGACGATGCAGAATTATGAAGAATAACTTTTTTTCATAATGATAAGATCAAAAAAATTCCCATATTATGCTGCGAACTTAAGTAGACACATGGTATTTTCCTGGGGTTTGAGTATCAAACTTAATGAACCACTAAAGAAAATGTTAATAAGTACAAAATATGCACCAATATATATATATACAAGAAATTATAACTTTATTCAGATATTATTTAAGAGACTTATATGGAAGGAGTGGATAGCAATTAAGTGTACAATGCAAATTTTACTTAATTACAGACCCTTCAATACATCATATTCTTTCAACATTGGTAATATACACGTGCAGTGATTTCGTAGAGCAGATAGAAAATAGGGAACTGATCTATAATCTATAATATAAAAAAAAAACAAATTAAAGAAAATTCTTGAAAAGTAAACATGTAGAGGTCTCCACGCGATAAGTAACGGGCACCAGATAACCCTTAAACAGCACCTTTAAAGCGAACTAGACGTTCTAGCTACGGCTAACCTCTGCATGAGAAAAGGTACCTAAGCTAAAAAAAGAAAAAGATGGGAGTTGGTGCTCATGTCTCGTTTTTAGGGGAATTTTTCCGATCAATCAGATTAAAAAGGTATAAAATTAAATTGTACGTACTACTCAAGGTAAGTCGCATATTTTGTGCCAGTACAAAGGTCCCTAGTATCTACCTACATAATTAACAGTGATGTACTATGCTATAAAAAGCAGACGTTTAGTTTTGAGTAAATCCGTCATAATTAGATAATTAATTTCCTACACGTGCAATTTCGTGATGAGAACTGAAATTCCTACACAAACTTTGTTTGTACCCTAATTTTGTGAACAAAAAGTGTAACGGCAATCATCTGTTATTAGAGTGTTACGTACAAAGGTAAAACATGTTTGATTAAAACGGGAAACGACAACACTAGAGTAAGATGATTTCCTTAAAACACGAATTCCAGCATAGAGAAAATACAATTAGGGTAATCAAAGATTATTATTGACAAACTGCTTCCAAGTCGATTGACATTTACAGAAATTCGAGTCAAGTGGAATACACAAATTATTAAAACGAAATGGAAGAGGCACCGTAAATACAAGTGGAAAACAACATAAATCAATGAAGTACAAAAAACATCTACGATCAATTTGGACGAAACAATTCGTAAAATGAAAATTTCCTGTGCAAAAAATACATTAAAATGAGCAGGTTAAAGTCTATTATATCACATTCAGAACCACCCTATATAGTGAAGAATCGGAACTGTATGAGGTACTCTCTACACGAAAGAAACGATTTGAATTCTACAGGTAACAGCACACTGATCACATACTCCCACATGAATACATAAATGAATAATAGAACAATATAAAGGCATAATCATATTAAATATGTACAGTATAGCAAACACACATGATTCAGGTAACAGTTTTATAAAACAAATCTTTGAGCACGCCATGCTTCAGTAAACAACATTCAATGTAAAATGTATATAATAACAAATTGTCACATGACATTCAAGAATTAGTACAAGAAAGAATAACCTGTAGGTAATTATACTTTTCAAAGCAGAACAATACTAAACGAAATAAACATGCAAAACCCGTCACGTGTACCATTCTCGAGGGCTCGGAATCCACGCTACCTTCTCTTGATGGCAAGCTCAGTACACCAAAATCCATGTTCCCCAGTATCTGCGCAGAATGACCAAGATTGAAAACCTCGCAGTTGTTCTATGCCCCCCCCCCCCTTGCTGTTGTTGGAGACATGTGCCTATGACTTTTCGGCAGTATTTTTCAACCGCTGGCCGCGTTTTTCATCCTTGCACATGATCTCGATCGTATTGCTAGGTGTTATATCTTCTCCAATTGCCATTGTACACTGTACATTGTACTGTACAGCTCAGCCCTCTCCCATGCCATCTGGGACACTCATAAAAGGCGGGTTTTTATTGTCTGTGAGGCCGCAATGTATACATTTGTTGTTGTCCCTTTTATTGATTTTACAAAGGTATTGCCGATTCTCCCCATTCCTCCTTCAAAACTGGGCCATGGTGTAGTTCAACTCTCCATATGGCCGGTCTAGCCTGGTGCATGATGTTCTGGTGTCTCATATCATCTGCGATTCCATACATTGACGCTATTTTGCCCATTTCCCAACCCTGGCTTTGATCGGGACCTGGGTCGGCGGTATCCCAGCCACCACCAGTACGTCATCTAATGCTACCATTGTATATTGTGTAAGCCACTACTATTCTATTGGCGGGGAGCCTTTAGTGCATTATTCATTAACACTCACTTGTGATGTCCAATTCTCTATTTTATGTGATTGTCCATAAGGTTGGGCTGAGACCCCCCTTCCCCTTGTGGGACGCCTACATTTGCGTTTGCGAATTAATCCCTCCGGTTTGGGTACCTACTTTTGCCATTTGTCCAGTGAGGTAACGTGTGTTGCCTAACCGTAGGGGTATATCACCACGACCCAGTAAAGGAGAAACTGCAGAGAACGAGTAGGTGGACCGGAAATACATACGCAATTCAACTTTACAATAAAATATACCAAATAAGCAATATTGTATTCATTTATGTTATTTTATATTTGGCCTTTATTTTAAAGTGGGTGGGGTTTCAACCAAGGCTGCTCTACCAACCAAACCCACTAAACATTTATAATACTCAATGACTGAGTATATTGGCAAAATAAAATCCAATCCAAATTACACTTTCTCTTACAATTTCATACTTAAAAAATGTTTACGTTCACTACGAGTACTGAAAATGTAACCCCTATACCGTCGCCATGTTTACATCCTAACTTATCACTACTTTGCCCACAATAACAGTAATAAATATGCCAATTTTATACAAAAACATCACAACTAGCAAAAACTAAACTCATTTAGACGAATATTCTTATTTTAAATGGCATAACAACTTCAAGAGAAATTCTAAAATCTCCATTCGGCTAATTTCCAAAAAAATTGGATCCTTTAACTTTCCTGATTACTTCCAATACAATTTAGATCAATTTCTCAAAGGGAGCGGATCGTTATTTGAATACAAATCAAATCGATTACGGTGCCTTAATTACATCATTTTCTAGAATCGGTGGTTTCTCTATGGTACAAATCGGTATAGTCTTCCTGGAAGCAATGGTGCCTTAAATTAATTTAATTGATGTTCTGCTTTCTTCGATCAAATTAGTTTCCTCTACAACTCAGCAAAATTCGCAGTGCATTTCCAAGCCGCGTACCTTCTTCATCTACGATCGGATATTTTTCAGCTGTTCCGTGCCTTTGTATCTCATGTACCTCAGCGTATCGTACCAAGCTGACGTTACCTAGCCCTATTACGAAAATTAATGAAAACCCATAACGTTATCATCCAACCTTAAAAAAAACGTTTAATTCATTTGTAAATTATTGAAATTGTTTTTTTTTTGACAGGTGGGGAAATGCATTACGCACACTCCGGATAGAAGTCCGGAATAGTGTGGGACTCTCCCATTATCTGGGTATACCCACTAAAACCCCACCTGAGGCTTCGGCATCTATGGCCATTAGCCTTTATACTTATACTAAGGTACTATAATATCACAGTTTCTGAACACACAAAACAAGACAGGCGTGATTACATTTACTTATTTACTACACAAATATACATAAAGACAAAAATTTAAACATGTCACAGATGGTTTGCAATACCAATTTGTTGGACGAACGCGACAGTATTTTTACATTGTTCTTCATTTTTAAAGTTATTTTCCCATATCGGGTTTATATTAAATAGCACACGTACATTCATATACTGCGGACAGATAGAAATAATGTGATGTGGTGTTAAATTAACACCACATTGTTCGCATCTCGGTTCGCATAATGGCCGTTCTTCACCTGCCAACAAATACCCATGAGTGAGAGCAGTATGCCCCAGACGGAGTCTGTACAGCCTGATCAAGTTCAAACGTCTAACGTCGATATAGAAAAGCGGAACCAGACTAGGTTTGATCCTTTTCAAAGCCGTATCAGACTCCGACCACTGCTCACTCCACCGCTCATAGATTTTACTTTTCACAAGTCCACGCCGTGCAGTAGATGACATACTCGTGAAGTCAATATTCTCCAATTGGAGGTGGTTTAATACCTCTCTAGCCCTAACACCTAACGATCTACATCTGTATAGACGAGCAATGGTAGTCGCATCAGTAAGGGATCTAAAATTTGGATGTTTATCATCTAACCTTACTTTTATACAGTGTGTCCCAGATCGGGTGGGATTGCATGGGTAACTTTCTTATTATTAAAGATAGAGAATTGGTTAAATGGACAATGTTTTGCAGTTTTAGATGCTTAGTTAAAATTTCCTTGTGGAAATTCAAAATGTCGAATCAAAAAAACTAAAATTGGTCATTTCCTTGAATGTCTTATATCATCGAAAGTATAAGATTTATATAAAAGTTACTGTCTTTGATACGCTTAATTTTGAATTGATGTAAAAAAAAATTCAAGATGGCCACTTTTGAGGAACATTAACCAACTTCCTTAAAGTTAAATGGGCGCCATATTGGATTTTTAGATTACTTGATAGATTTTTTAATACTCTTTTCAACGAGCTATTATAACATAAGGTTGAAAATAAGATACCAGTTATATCAACGGTTTTTATATTTTAATCAAGTAGGCTGTGATGAATTAAAAAAAAAGCAAAACAAAATCTATTCGAGGCAACAAAACAATGAAAATAATTACACCAGATGTTTAAAATACTGGCTATTATTAGTGAAACTCACTTCAAGACAGTTTAGTTTAGGCAACGTGTTGCCATTGATTATTATTATTATTATTGTAGTGGTCCACTTTACTCTTATTTTTTAATTAGGTATTTACTTTTATAATTTAATGTACTGTACATAATTCTTGAATTGTGACCTGAGCAGCCAGCTTGTTGGTAGATAGCATAAACCAACCCCTTTCTTCGAAACATACGTTGTCGAGAAAAATCCTTTAAGGAAGTTTATTGGAGAATTTGTAAATAATGGTGAGCAGTTAAAGATCCATCGAAGATTACCGGTGCAATTACATGACTTCCCATTATGCCATAAAATAGATTAATTAAAAAAAATATTACTTGATTTGGGCGTGAAACTACAACATGTAGGTTTTCCGGTGACGAGTAGTATTCATTATGTCGATTTGAACACTCCGCAGTTAGAAAAATAAGATTCATCTGTCCATATACTCGAACTGGTAAAACTGTTAAGTTTCGATATTCTTGCGACTAAACCACCTACAAAATGTGACCTGGGACAATGCATCAATGGTAATACATTGTGCAAAATAAAGCGAAATGTCTTGAAATGTGTTTAAGTGGATAATGGCATGAAATTTTTTCGAGGGGATAGTTTGTAGTTATACCACCATTTGTAGGTATGTAAGTATGGATAATAAGATAGTCAATAAGTGATTTTTCTAAGCCTACTTAATATAAAATTTTGGAGGGAGTTTTAATGCCCAAACCCCCTCTCATGAGTGCGCCCCTGATTTTTTAAACATCTGATGTAATTATTTTCATTGTTTTGTTGCCTCGAATAGATTTTGTTTTGTTTTTTTTTAATTCATCACAGCCTACTTGATTAAAATATAAAAAACGTTGATATAACTGGTATCTTATTTTCAATCTTATGTTATGATGGCTCGTTGAAAAGAGAATTAAAAAATCTATCAAGTAATCTAAAAATCCCATATGGCCCCCATTTAACTTTAGGAAGTTGGTAAATGTTCCTAAAAAGTAGCCATCTTGAATTTTTTTTTGACATCAATTCTAAATTAAACGTATCAAAGGCAGTACTTTTATATAAAACTTTTTTTTATATCTCTTATACTTCCGATGATATAAGACATTCAAGGAAATGACCAATTTTAGTTTTTTTGAATTTACGTCGAACCTATGCGACATTTGGAATTTCCAAAAGGAAGTTTTAAATAAGCATCCAAAACTGCAAAACATTGCCCATTTAACCAATTCTCTATCTTTCATAATAACAAAGTTACCCATGCAATCCCACGCGATCTGGGACACACTGTATAGTATTTTGCAACAATCTGTTTCCGGCGAAGAGCTAGAGGGGGAATATTTGCCTCGAGGTAGAGCGATGTAACTGGACTTGTTGGATATGCTCCCAAAGAATATCGAATAGCCAGGTTCTGAATCTTATCAAGTTCCCCAAGCAAAGCATTAAAATAACCAAACTTTGGCGTACTAGATATCCATCAGAGCCATCCTACCTAACACTGAACTACCCTAACGGAATTGGATTCTAAACCATTAATTTGTGGAAAACACTAACAATTGTTCTAATCAATAAAATTTTAAAAACGCTGGGGTGTCGACTGACTAGCCGTTGTATAGACACACAGTGCTTTCTGCGGTAGGGTTATTCTACTACCCGCCCCTGCCTAATCGTAGGGGTATATCAACACAACCCGGTAGAGGAGAAACTGTACAGACGAGTACGTGGAAAGCCTACGTCAGAAATTGGATGCCATCCAGGATAAAGTTTGCCATAATATGCAGATAGCGAGCGGATAGGATGGAAGTGCAGTAAGGCGCGAAGGGCCAAGCTAATGGTTAGAGGATCATCCAGAAGCAGCGAATGTGACGCAAACGAAGAATTGACTTTTACAGAATATTTGGCGCATTACTCTGAAACTCAAGAAGCACTCTTTGGTGGAGTCCATGAATAACCTAAAGGTCTGTTTGGGCCGCCGGGGGTGGGTACCGACAAAGGGAATATGGTAACCATCGATGGGATCTTACTGAGTGGACATCGACAAGGGAATATGTTTGCTCCTGACAAGATCTCTCTGATGGTGGAGTCAACACTGGCTAATAAAACACTGATCTGCCACACAAGTCCCTTTTGGATCTCACACGAGGACCTTGATAATTTTTACAGAATACGCTTTATCTGCACCGGATTTGTGCACAATTTCTATACTTGTTTCTAAATTTCTTGGAGATAACTGACTTATTTTGTTTGTCCAAGCTAATGGCATATGAGTTTTTTTAAATTTCATCGTATGAACCTTTTAAGGAAAAAAATGTTAGGAGCACGTTTAGTCTTTTTGGGCATCCACATACACTGTTCTCGCCATATCTTGGCAACTAATCGACCACATCATTAGCAGCGACATTGAAAATTATGTAACGGTAGTGGATAATCTACTACGTATAAAATGCCTGTAATTACTTAATTATGAGATATTTAAAAACTGTTATCTATTTATAACAATGGATACGCAAGTGAAAATATTACATTAAAGGACTATTGAACTGTACTTTTTGCAAATTTTCAGATTTACATGCTCCTCGCCGTTACGTAATTAGGTGCCTGTACAAATTACCTACTTTAACGGTTAATCAATTTGCATTAGGAAATAATCAGTAAGCGTGACAAAGTGTTTTAGCAAGGAATGCGAAAGCGTGGATACAGTATTTAGCAAGTTTTGCAAAACGCGGTATCAACCACACGTAAATATTTTGTTTGGTGAGATGATGATCTTCTATTTGCGCGATTTCTATCGTTTTTATGCAGGTGGAATCGGGGAAAGGGAAGCAGGTTGTTTGTTATCTTATGGTAGCATAGTAATAGACGATGGGTAACCTCGTAATGAGCAACAGTTATTAAACGCAGCAAACGTAACAGGTATTTCTGTCAAGGTCGGCCAGGTAACAAACATGCGATGCTCTTTTGATCGAAAACAACAGTCTTTCGAAAGTGTTCCATCTGTGTAAATGAATAAATAAATAGGAGTGCATTAGACACGAGAAGGATACCAAAACGCCATGCCATCCCATAGCAAAACGATTGTGGATTTTTCCGGTAAAGAGCTAACCGAAGAGGATATCAAAGATTGTATTCAACAGCTTCGGGAAATATTAAACGGTAAGTTAATTTGTTTTCTTAGAAAGAATCATATTAGTGTTAATTTGTTGATGGCTATTATTATTTTTTATTCCGGTTTTTAAAATACTCCATAACTGGAAGGGAAATATTTTACGTTATAACTAAACATTTTGCACCTCAAGATTAGTGTAGTTTTAAAACATTCATATTTATGTAACGATTTAGATAAAGAAACATGTAGGTAATATGTATATTCTTGGTAAGTGATTAATAAGGAATGTAGGTTAACCCAATTAAACGATAGAATCGTACAAATACTATACCTCCCTCAAAAAAACAATATGGACCATTGTTGGTAATACCCCTATCATCTTATGGTTATTGTTCGTCATGCAATCCATATACGAAAATTCTGCTTGTATCACTCCACATTCCAGAACCTATCTCTAGTGAGGGATCTAATCAAAAGCTTTCATGGGATCTCCGAAACATTAAAGCAGAAGCTGAAGCTGAAGTCGTCAAAGATCATATTTTGAAGTTGAAATTCCTTTCACTCCACTTGGACTAAAAAATTCTGAGGAGGGTGGAAAGGTTAGCAAAGGACTTGAAGGGCAAGTATATCTTTATTGAAGAAAAAGGGTATAATGATTTTTGTATACGAGACAATTTCCATCCAACATGATCTTGATTGTATGTTGGGCTCAGTGAAAGAAAGAAGAAACAATCACAACGTCCATAACTCGAGTTTTGTATTATGGCGTTGTGTCAAATAAAGATCCATGCTATAAAATTCGTGTCGTGGATGCTGTGAAATTGGATCACGTCAAGTTGTGGTTATTATGAACATGTATAAGGATTAAACAACTCGTAAATGCTGCTATAGTTCAATCCGAGGTTCATGTCCATTATTATTGAAGGTTTGTTCCCAACATGAAACCCTATGAGCTAACCATGACTAGTAAAATGCATATATTTTATGATAAATTACGTGAGTTAGCGAATCCTTCCTTATGAAGCGGACTTGCTGAAAGTACTCTTCCACGTTTTTTGGTATGCAAATTACTCACAGTTGCATAGTATTTAGTGGTTGCATCGTGCATGAGATAACGTTGAGAACGCGTTATAGAGTTTATTAATAGTCAAAACAAATAATGAGGACCACGGACACGAGTTTTGTAATGTGGTCTTCTTCAATTACCCACAACATATTCTGGCTATATCACGAATTGGATGTCTCAAAGGGACCACGGCTCGCTCGACAGATTTCGTTCTCTGAGCTCAATCATGGTCATCTCGGAAACCATAGAAGATACGAAGATGGTCAAATTAAGGAAAAGATCCGCAATTAAAGCCAATTATTATCTTATTCCCCGTTTGGGGTGTAGCAATTTTAGAAAAAAAATTGCAAAATTGGAAAGGACATAATATCCAAAACTGTTCTGCAGCACCATATTGCTCCAAAATGTTGCCGAAGTTGTCGGTCACAATCAAAAATATTGGCTCTAATTAATGGATTTTGAGAACTTGTGTTGTGGCTATGATGTTATCCTTATATTTATTGTATTGTATTAGTTGTAAATGAAAATAGAGAAATAACATTTATTCAATTTACATCTGCAATCTGCTCTACAATTTTTGTTTGCTGCGTTTGTAGGGCATGTAACCATTTCTATTTCCATCTTCCGCCTGTTTAATAAACTAGAACAATATTGATTATCGTGAGTTTCCGGTAGCATAAAGGATTAGAACTTTCTTCTGTTTATGGCCGGATAATCTGTTGGATTATAGTTCGTAGGGGTACAACTGTAGCACGAGCGAGGATCTAACACCTGTTCTCCCTGTAGAATTTGAATTATGGGGTGTCGTGTCAGGAACGTATTGTTCGTTTATTTTTTATAATAAATAGACATTTAGAGACAAACAAAAAATTACATTAAAAATGTGCGGGCTAAATATAAAGGAAATGTGTAACTATTGGATTAATAATAAAATGCAGAGTATACTTAATGCCGTTTAATTACACTCAGTGCCAATGCCAACAATAAAGTGATACATATTTACAAACACACCCTTACATTTAAACATACGTCGGAATGTGGCAACCCAGATGTTACATAACTCAAGCGGTACTTTTAAGGGATCAAAGTCAGTTCAGGAAATGGGCAGCATCCCATTAACTAACACTACTTGATTTTCTAAGAATGAATACAAAGAAGGTAGGTAGGATTTTGTATTATATCCAATAGTAACAACTAACAACCCGTGGCGTTAGGATCACAATCCCTGGATTGTTTTTCGGACATTTCATGCCTACTTTATGTCAGGAAAATGTTAGTTTCCATGACAGAGGCAGACCAGACTACTTTTCCTGCCACCTGTCACTTTACCGGCCGCATCTGTCACTTTTCCGGCCACACCTGTCACATTGATAAATGTCTATAATGACTCCTGTCATCACTAACAGATTGGCATGAATCAAAAGTTCTATATAAATAGGAATACGGGTATAATTTAATACAAAACTCGTCAGTAAAATGACATTACTTGACTCGGAAATTAAAGTGCTCGGTCCTAAAGGGGCCTCGTATTTCAGTACTTCCTCGCCAGTAATGTGTTATTTTCCTGACTTTTACGTTAATAACTATTTCAATTGGGGTGTTGGGGATCATTGCTTACGAGTAAGAAATGCAGGTCAATTTCCCTGTATCTTTTTTTTTGCAAGAACAAAATAGGACTTTTAAGTTACTCTTTGGCACGACTGGTTATGCTATATCAGTGCCTTCAAGGGCCAAAGCGTGACCAAGGGCAACTCAAGTTATTGGAACTCTCAGTATTACCAAATTTTTGTAACATACTGTAAGAAAGTTGCGGGCCTTATCCTAGGGCAGTGATTCTCTTCGGAGGAGATAGCGTCCCTCCCTTCCAAGTGTCATAGAAATAATTACACAGAGGCGCAGTGAATTGAATGGGACAATATAAGGGTGGTAAGTTGTAACTGCAGCAACTCTAGTCGTAATAACATTACAATCCAATCGTACTAATGGTTATTACTCTATTATAGAATAGAGAACATGCCTGTAATCATTATTTGTGAAACCGGACACAATTTAATTTAAACAAACTCTCTGCCGTCTTAATAAAATTTACCTTGTGGAACCAGAACTTGGGCCCCAATGTATTTTGACAGCTTCCACTCATGTCAGATGTGCATGTTAGTAGTGAAATATCCATTGATGATGTACAGTGTGTCCTATTTTGGTTGAGACTGCAGTGCATCTCACCTGTTTTTAAAGATAAAAACTTGCGGTTTTCGCGACTCTTGCCACTTTTTTGTGAAACTTTTGATACCACAAACAGAATCAATCTACCTACGTTTGATTCCGAGATACAGGGCGAATATTAAAAGTTTGACTTTTTGAAGGAGATAACTGCCTATTTTAGATATTTTTACGTACAACCCAGTGGTGTAGTTAAAAAAATTGTTGGACCACCTTTTCTGAGATTTCACCAAAGTTAGTATTTTTGAAATGGAACACACTATATATGTTAACGTAATTTTTTTCCTGATTACATTTATGCAACCTATATTTTATTTAAATTTTACACATGAAAACGTTTTTACTCTTTTTAAATAGTAGGTCATGGATTAATAGATATTTTGTTTTGTTTATTGTATCAATACTAATTACAGCAGCTGATACCAATCAATAAAAATGGCTTACGGTAATTTTTGAACCACCTTTTCTGAGATTTGACCCAAAGTACTTTTTTAATGGAACGCCCTATATATGTTAACGTAATATTTTGCATTTTCTTCCTGATTACATTGATGCAACCTATACATTTTTTAAATTTTTCACATGACGTTTTTACTGTTTTTAAATACTAGGTCATGGATTAATAGATATTTTTTATTTGTTGTATCAATGGTAATTAAGGCAGCTGATGCCAATCAATAAAAATGGTTTACAGTAGAAACATGTCACTTCAAAATTTTGAAAAATATGATATAATATAATATGTTATTATATATAATATGTTATTATATATAAAAATGTAGGTTGTAAATTTGTGATACAACAAACAAATGAGAAAAATTGACGTTTAAGTATACAGGGTGTGCATTAAAAAAATTCCAACTTTGTGTCAAAACGCAGAACCGGTGGTACACATTTTTTTACTGTGCCACTTGATTCTACGTAAAAATATGTATAATAGGCATATAATAGCCTTATCCTTATCTGACATGGATAAATCAAACTTTTCGTTACCACCCTGTATCTTAGAAGCAAACGTACCAAATTATATTGCGTTCGTACCTCCAGATGCAGTATTGGGTCTTATGGACTAAATGCATCTTTTAATAATTTGCGTAATTCTTCGTTAACGTTCTATCCTTGTTCCCCACCGCAATGAAGCCAAACTAATATTATGATTGAGTTGAAGTATTAATGGCCCTATGCACCGAAGAAGATAGCTTAAATGTAGCTTAATATCCATGGTAACGATTATTGGGACAATGGTTGCCATGGATTTTAAGCTAGGCTCAGCTTAAACTTTTTCAGTGCATACGGCGGCCATTAAACAACGCATAAATCTCTACCTCTGACATTAGAGTTCAACTCTTTCTCTCTCTAGCATCAGGCAAGCGCAATAACGTACGTTGTCGCTAACAATACATAACAAAGGTCTCGTGGATCCTTCACGAAAAAATACATTCATTCTGCTTGCTATGGTGTTATGGTAGGTGTTTATGACATTTTGATGCACATTGCACAATTTCCCACATATTGGCACTACAATCATTAAAGAATGTCCTTTAGTAAATGCATAGCGTTAGTACGTAATTATTATACATAGGTACAACTTTACGTTTATCTGTTAATTCAAATGAATGTTTCCACTCTTATTCTGTCTCTGCCTCAAAAACTTAAAATACACCAGTAAACTAATACAACATACCTCTTTGAAGATTTTAGCTTTATAGTGTCCCTCTAAGACATTTTCAAGGGCTCTTAAGTACTCTCTTAAAAACCCGTTAAGGCGCTAAAGGTCACTAAAAAGGTTCTGAAGGCTCTACTAAAAATTTTCTAATTCATTTTAAAGACTCTCGAGGCTTGGCTCTTAAATAGAGGATTTCAAGGATTCTAAAAGCTTCCAAATGACCCGTGAGTGTATGGGATATCTGTCTCAAACAGTGACACTCGTTCTAACTATAGCAGAACGAGATTCACCATTCCCAGAAAAAAATTGGTGTGAATATTTGAAGGTGAATGGTACATGTAGGTGTATTCCACCTTCTTTTACTTAATTTAATGTAAGTTTTCTTGTTTCAGCTGACAAAAAATTCCAAAACGTTCGAAAGGATGACGCTTACTTATTACGGTTTCTACATTGCACGGATTTTAGTGTTCACCAAGCTTACAGAAGGGTAAGTGGGTAATTTCCCCAGACTGCATTGCGGTTTTGGACTTACGCCTAACGCCCGCATAACATGTTATTGCTAAAGGAGAAACCCATATTTAAATTCTGTTTCAATGAACTTTGCGGTAGATGACATATTAACCTTCGGTATACAAAAGAGGGTACGGAAATAGCTGTTCTACTTGCAGATAGACGACTACATCGGGTTACTATTAGAACATCCAGAATGGTTCGCAACAGGATCTCCAATAGACTATAAAGATTTAATCGACCAAAATACCAGAACCATTCTACCGGGTGTAAGAGATAGGGACGGTCGTAGAATATTTGTATCCAAATTAGGTTTGAAGTTCTCATCTGCATATAATTGACGACCACTAGGTACAAACTATTGTAGGGGAGTTCAACGTCAGTCGGATGTCTCCGCAGCAGTCGGCCAAAGTGGACGAACTTTGGTTAGAATTGATTATGGACGAGCCGGAAACGCAAGGTACCGGATTAAGCGTTATTCTCGACATGAAAGGATATTCTTTGAGAATGTTTCGTTGGTTAACACCCTCAAATATTAGATTTGGTTCGAGGAAAGCCGATCTGTATCCATGTAAAGAACTCGTTTACCACGTTGTAAATACCTCAACACTGATCAGCGCGAGTGTCAAATTGATATGGCCGTTTTTGACAGCAAAACTGAAAGAAAGGGTGAGCGTACCAATAATCCGTTTGTTTCAATTAATTTTACATTTCCATTACATAATTTATCTCCTTCCTGTGTATAACGAAAAAATACAGTGTATGATATCAAATCTCGAAAAACCACTTAATTTTTAATGTGCCGTTTCTGACCACATAATTACTGACTCCGCATGATACCAAATATTATTTCAAGATTAAACGGTATAACCTACTGAAAAGATTGTTACAACAATTAAAAATAAAGTGTCAATTTTAAGCTTCACCTATAATTGTAAGTAGATCAATTTGTTTCGGTTGAGCTTCGGTCGTGCGCCTTCACGAAACGGATTTTTGTTAACTAAATAATGATCCAATTCGTACATCGTATTCAATAATTTGACGTCACATACAGCATTCTGTATTCGTGTTGTGCATAGATTAGTTTTATACGATAAATTGTGGTAGGTAAGTGTATTGGTGTCCTATTAGGTATATACCTACCTACCTAAATCTTACTGTTACAAATTGCATTTTTAGATTAACTGAAAAATTTTAGAATCTGTTGCAACACAGAACCTAAAGGTTGTCTGTCTCAAAAGGAGGCATGGAAGGCGATCATCTTTGAAGGAAAATGAACGCTAACTATTGAATTCTGCACACACTAAGATAGGTAGCGATAAAGTCAAAATTCGTGATCTATAACAAAGGAGGGTACTATAGCGGATAACTACTTACGATAGAGAAACACATGGATTCAATTGGTCAAGGGAACGAATGGCTGCAGAAGGCACAGAAGGCAAATGGTCGTAGTTTTAAAGTGCAATAACCTGTGTTCTATCGAGGGTCGACCGTTTGTCTGTAATCATGTTCACCTATGCCGAATGAAATTGTAGGAAAACGTATACCTATTGAGACAAAATACATATTTTTATTTCAATTTGGGTAATTATTATAGTGGAGTAAATTCCCAGCAAAATTATCACCATGACCCACAATGGCGTGGAACCAGGTGAAATGTATATCAATCGATGGGTCTCATTGATAGCTATCACATACTAAAATTACAACTGTTTTGAGTAGGTCAGAACTTTATTATTAGCGAAAAACGAAAAAAAAATTGCAAAAGTGAAATCATGTTTTTTCATAGAAAACTCACAATTTCTCCGGTTCTGGAAGACATAACTGTATCATTTTTTTTTAATTACTCTCAAGAACTGAGCGAATGAACCTATACCACTCCCAGTCAAATCGAATGAATAGATTGTTGTTAAATTTGTTGCAAAGTGTAAATTGTAAAATTAGTGCATTGAAAACTTCAGCATGCGGGGAGCTACTATTATTATTATAATAACTATTATTTAATTGTTGTCCATTTAACGTAAATAAATGCTCTTTTAGGTAGTTAATTCAAATGTAATGATTATACTAGATTGTCTGCATCAAGTCATCTAAAGTTTGTTCTAGAGCCGGTGCAGCGTTTTGTTTCTATTCTATTCAATCAAACTAATTGGATTTGCTCAGTAAATCCTCACAGTCGTTTTAGAGCTTTTTTTCGATTTAAAGCAAATCCGGCTTTCACGTGTTCTCCTTCGTCAGTTTTTGGGATTACTTCCCTATTTTCTATTTCCATTTTAAAAGCACGGCATGTAACGGCTTAGTTACATTTACAAGGGTCGAACACCTCAATTGCAGCAGATAAAAATGACCTTCTACGGCAATGGCAAAAATTTTAAAATATGACTCACGGCTATCCCAGTAATAAAAATGTTTGTTACACCTTTTACCTTGCAGAAGTTTGGCCTTTTGTCTCATCTCAAAATCTGCAATTCAAAATCTAATGCTCTGGTTTGATCGAACTCTAATAAATACGCATGTGAACTTAGTTGATTCATGAAAGCCAAGACTTTCAATTTGCATTACATGTTCCTACATGTCAAATATTGGTTTGGTTCATAGAAAGAAACCAAAAGCAATGTCTATCTTGTGATCACGTGATAATGCTAAATTTGATCCTTATCCACACTGTCATTATATTCTGACACATAATAAATTCTCTTGTTTAAAATATACACATCTCAGAATGCTAAACAAAATTTTAATTCAACCAAAGGAGTAGTAGCACTGAAATTAAATGCAATTTTCTAATCACTGAAACAAAACAACCAAAAATCTTTTGTTTGGATTCGTTCCTTATCAGTGAATATAATGCAAAACCTGTTTCATGCAAGTAAGTTTCACGTGTTAATTCCTTTAGGAATATCAAAATTACTCCAAACAAATTTAATATGCAAATTCTTACCGACCATTACCTATGAAATCAAAGAAAAACTAAAATAACGTACAGTAATTGTCGTTACACGTTAGTGGTATTCCCTTTTAGTAATTGATTTATCTCTTCTTGGAAAATACCACTTCTTCACTTAAATGGTATAGGTGACTATTTCCCTATATGAATCGCGAATCTATCCAAACCCACTTTAGGATACAAAGGAATGAAATGCCAATGTTCCGCTGTATTGATATTAATTTGACGAGTTGGTTTTTTCGGCCTTCGTTAGGATAGCGGTGAGAGTTTGTAGGGTGTGTAGGACAAAGAAAGATAAATTGGTTCAGTAATTTTATTTGGTAGACGAAATATTTCGGACGCAATCGCTGTCCTTCCATTCCATCGGGGCTTCCGATTTTTGTTTGTAGAATTTTCCGTCGAAGTTCCGTCGAACGTTCGGTATGAAGCGGTATATGAGTAAATTTGTTGTACAAAATACAAATTCAAAACCAAATTTTTGAAACGGCAAAGTGGCCACCTGTTACAAGCTCACCATTATTGTTATTATATGCAGATGCCGGTTTATTTCAAGGACCTCTAGCGGCTTCTCTATTATATTTACCCACGTTTGGTTGTCCGATGCTTTTTAAGGTGATTGATCCAGATGCAAGCACTGTCCACAGATCTGGTACAGCAGCTGCCTTCAAAAAAAATCTTTAGAGTTCCTGTTTCAATCCTGTGGTCTTCGCCCCTGTGTAGTAACTGGAGGTATGCGTACGAAGTCGTTTCGGTTTGTCTGCCTACCATACGGGGTTTGGAAGGCCCTTATCTTTCAGAGTTTCAGACAATAGGTGGGTGGAGCAAGCGATGTTCGCCCTTCTCTACATTTGGTTCTCAATGAAGCGAAGTGCAACATTCCCGGAACTCGCGGTGTTTGGGTCGAGTTCGCTTTCGAGGTTCCAGCTTCTCCCGCTGAAGTGCTGGTTACCTACCTTCTTGGATTTCTTGTTTGGTTTCATGAACATATGATGCAAAATTATGCACGCTTGGATAACCCTTTTTTTATACTATGAGGTTGGAATAAAATTATATCCTGTAAGCTACTCAGCACTTTGCAGGAGCATAATAGCATAACAATTGAGCTCACCATTTAATATTAGAAAGAAAGATACACATCTACAAGCACATTCACTAATTAGGTAGTTACCTCATTAATTATAAATGCTTATGTCACATTATTTATGCAATGCAAAATGAAATAAGTCATACATTCAATTAAAAATAAATGAAAATGATGTACTGCGAAACAAAGATACTGCAACTAATGTCAATTACAGCATTTATTTATGAATAATTATTGGTGATGTTGTTTAACCACTGTACGCAACATTTACATAACTCATTCGAAAAATTATCATGTTTAAGTACCAATTCGAGATTGTTATTATGTGACACTGAGATACAATTCAAATAGTATTCGTATGTCATTAAAAAATAGTGAAATTAATCATCTATTGCACTCCCCGGTATTGTCTACCTTCCAGGAATACTTTGATCTTTAACAATGTCCAAGATTTTGATTAGGTCGGACCTTTATTACCTTCCTCTTGTGTATGCCTCACAATGGCAATGGTGTTTCTTCTTCCTCGCCACAACCCCTGCATAACGGGCTGTCGATCAGTGCCATTTTGTGCAAGTACTTGTTAAACTGATCATCTTCACCCTGCTTAGCTTCAAGGATGGACGATTCTAATAATTCCCCGTTGGGGGTTTCCAGAAAGATCTTCTAATGGCTCTGTCTTGGAATTTTCGACCAGTGTCTGTATTGCTCTTTCGTGGGTTTTGCACGAATCTCTTTTTTGGCTATGTGATCAAAAATGAGTTACTGTCGAGTATCCTTAACTTGAACTTCCAAAGGCGACTCTCCTCTCCTCTTTCCTTGCAGTCTCTGTATACCCCCCCCCCTCAATTTTTTTAGAAGAACCTATTCTACCCTATGTTCTTTGGAGTCCGGGCATCTTCTGGAATTTTTTCAATTTCCTCGCAATACCTTCACCATGAAGCAAGCCCCTTTCGTCGAACCCTGCGACTCACTCTGTAATTGGAGACAATAAATTAATATACTCCATATAAATACATAAATATACTCCTGAGTCCTCTGCTATAGATGAATTGTTTTTAAACTTAAACCTTAAACCTTTTACCCTATAGGAAATTCCTTCGAATTAAAATTTACGTTCAGGAAACCTCCATTTAAAAAAATTACTTTCAAGAACACGTCCTGTGAGTAGTTTGGTTGATAACCAACGTTAACCGTCGATGTTCATTCTATATAATTTATTCTCTGTATATTGCCTGTATTGTAGAATCAGCTCTAAATGGGGAAAATTCGAAGTTTCGTCAACTAGATTTCAATTGAATAGAATTTGCCGCAATACATTTACTCCAGGAGGTGATTCGTTTTGATAGCTTCCGCTGTAATTGTCACCAGCTTCCATGAAATCCTAATCAATAAAACTACGTTCGTACAAACGAGCTCAACAGAAACCGCTTTTAAGAGGAGACGATTTTTTTGAAATCAAATTTCCAAGAGGCAAGGATCAACGAGTACTAGAGCGATCATATGAAGTCGAGTTTCCCAAAAGGAAGGAATTCTGTGAGGCCAAGGTTTCTGAAGGGTGAATTTATGGGTGAAAGTTTTCCGGGAAACAAACATCTAGTAAGCTATTAGTAGCAATACAAACGGACAGATAAAATAGCGTCTCCAACTTTGTAAGACTTTGCGCTAATAAATAAAGAACCGTATAAACTTAATTGAACCTAAAATGTTTTGCTGATCGAGCAATTTAAAAAGAGGAAGTTGGATCACTAACATGTTAACTTTTTTTCTTGCTATGAATTGCCATAGTTATAGTTATACTAAAAGATTTATCTGTCATAATCCATTACAATATTTTTAAAATAGGGCAGAATTTTCAGTTTCTTTCTCCTTGTGCAAGGTTTACAGAGAGATTTGAATATCATACATTGTATGCCTACTCACTTTCTTCTTCAAAGAATCAAAGTAGACTAAAACATCGATGGAATTGGCTATAACATTATTTTTTAATAAATCGTGCCTCCTTTTTAGTTCCACTTTCATTTCGATGACTGGGAATCGCTCCACAAGCACATAACTCCAGATGTCTTACCGCCAGAGTATGGTGGAACCGGTCCAGAATTAAACTTCAAGAAATTAAACCAATGGCTGTACGATAATAGCGAACAAGTTTATGAAAATTTAAAACATCAGCACGTTGGTGCCATTCGGCACAAAAGTCAATAATTTTATCTTTAATGGAATTGTGGTTTTTGTTATTTGTATTTTAATAAAATCGTTAATTGAAAGTGTATTTTAATGGGGTTTAAAAGGTTTGTCACTACGCTAGAGGGGGTATCAGTCAATAAGTTTCCAGAACTTCATAACGCGCATGGCCGGCAATTTTCATGGATAACACCTACGCTTGCGGTTAAATATTTAAACGAATACACGCGTTAATAGTGTTTTGGTAAGCAATTCCATTCCTTCGCCGTTATCCATTTCTAAATGCAATATTAATACCGGTATGCTTTTCAGAAATGCCAATGGAGTTAGAGTCATCTATACATAAAACGTTTTCAGATAGCTTCAAGAAACATACTTTAAATCCGGCATTTCTCCAGGTAGCAGAGGACGAATTAAATGAAACTCCAGAGAATTACAAACAGCAATTGAATTTATTATGCCTTCTAGTTGCAAGTATGTACAAATATGATGTCAACTAAACGTGTTAATAAAGTCATTTATAGATGACAAAAATCTCAGGTTACCCGAAGACGATGCTTTCCTTATCAGATTCTTACGAGCCAAAAAGTTTGATGGTCATAAGGCTTTTCACATGGTAAGGTATTTTCAATTGATTTTGATATGTTTAACCTATGCGTGTTGAGGGCTAGTAAAATTTCATATTTCTGCATCAGACATCTTAATTTATTTTAAATTGATGGAAACATATAAAAGAAATGGGGTCGAATTTTGCATATTGGGATCTTTCTACGAGGACATTAATCCCATTCCAGGCTTTTATGTCTCGTCCAATAAAGGTAAATGGTGTCATTCATATGCACGAGCAAAACACATTCAGGAAGCAATAATTAAAAATATATCTTCCTTAAGTTAACAGACATTAAAACATACGACGAAAGGTGAGACACGGTGATAAAAGAATTGAAAGTTATAAATTCAATGATAAAAGCTCTTCAATCAACAGCAGAAGTAAAAGTACATATAGCCATAATTCTGCAGAATGAAAATACTGTTTACTTTTAATTAAAATTTATCTATTTAAATCTATCAAAATTAAAACTTTTGGTTTTACCATTGTATATACAACGGTTTTACCTCGCGTTTTACTGTACTTTTTATAAACAAAATGTTCACCCTAAATATAGGGAGGCTCTTTTCAAGCTAGTTTTATTTTTCATTACATACTATATTTAAAACAATATTAAAAACTGGCAAAATGTATATACAGAGTGCTCATTATTGGAGTCTCACTATGGAGATCTCGCTTATCTTAAGAGGTATAAAGTTGGTTAAATGAGGCTATTAAATTGAGAATTGTCGCGTTGAATAATAATCTGAAAAGAAATTTAAAATCTTCAATAGTTTTGAAAATATCGTAAAAACGAAAATTTCTGAAAATGAAAAATTTTATTTTTAGGAAAAATGTGGTACTGAACCACCGCGTGTGATAAATCGTAAAGAGAAATCTCAAAATGTCACAATCCAAAATGGCACCCGTAAAAAAAGTCGCCACATGTTTCTCCATCATCTTGAAAATGATTAAAAAGGGTTGCCACATTCGATTTCTTCATTAAAAAGTGAATCATGTTTTGGTTAGAAATGTCTAGTATGATTAGTTTATCTTCGAAACTTTCATGTTCTAAACTATTGAAGATATTTTAAATTTCTTTTCAGATTGTTATTTAACACGAAAATTCTCAACGTTTCCCTCATTTAACAACGTCCTATCGTTTAAGATAAGCAAGATCCCAATAGTAGCTCTCTAAAAATGCACACCCTGTATGAAAGAGATACGAATTAAGTCAAATAGGGAGAGATTCGCGGTTTTATATCTCTCTTATTCATAACACTCTTTGTTTTTCCAAAAATATTCTTGGTTTACTAGATCTTTTTATTGATAAAAGGTTCTCCAACTATGGTTACCATTCAGGATAAAATTCTTATGGAGTGCATTATTAATATTCGCCTAGGCCATATTTTTGGGAGTTACATTATCTTTAATTTTGACATTTGCAATTTTTATGTAGCAATTGAAGAACAGTCGCTTATTTCAAAATATCCAGCAAACTATGATTTTTTAAACCATGGGTAGGTAAGACACAAAACTGCAAATCTGTTCCCATTTAACCGAATTAGTATTTCTTAACTTTCCGAAATCCTCGTACTACTCATAAATATAAACTTACCCTGAATATTTGGATTTGTTTTCAAAATAATAACAAATATAGCATAATCAGTGGTTGGGCTTTAATAGATTTACAAATCCCTAACTACTAAAATAAATAGTTTGTATGCCAGTTCTGTCATAAAAAGGCCTTACTGTTTATACAATTTAAAATCAGAACCATGCATTTCAAATGATTTGATTTTGAATGAAACTTGCGTTTCCCCTATTAGCTGATAAACCATGTTTGTAGATGAACCGGTAAATGTCATGGCGGCATTCATTTCCTTGTTCACTTCAATTTGTGTATAGCACTACTATAATAAAGTGGATCGATTTGTTAATTTCAAACGTTGTAAGGTAATATAATGTACGAAAATTGAAATGGATTTATGCCTTATTTTAGAACGTATTGTTTTATAGGGGTATAGTTACCTATCAGAAATGTGATTCTTGCAGCTGCGAGAGAGGAAAGATCTTCGTCTATAAATAAGTTTAATGAAAAGGCATTGTTCTACATATACTAATATGTTAAAGATTTTCAATATTCAACTATTAAATAAAGTTATGTAAAACCGTTGTGAACGTCATACTGGCCTTGAATACGAGTAGTAGTTATTTGTGCAACCGTGTTGGGAAAAGCACTATTTTTCGTAACGCGCGTTTTTTCCGGAAACGAGGGAAATATTTGACTTTTCACAACGGTTATGAAAAGTAACGTATTTGATAACGTCAACGAGTTTTAAAAAGTATCACTTTAAATGTCAAAATTAGAAAAGATTATATTTATATAAATTAACCCTCGCCTGACCAAGGAGGGTAACCTGGGTTCCCCAAAGGTTTTAGCGTAACACAACGAAGCTAAGGTAACGCTTACGTTAGTCCTGAAACTTCCTGTACTGAGGTCTCACACGCCTGATGGATCTCCGACGAAACTTTTGTCTCTCCGACAATCAGAAGAGGAGCCACCTTTTTTTAGAAGGTCTCCTCGAACCAGAAGGCTACAATCGCGCTTTAGATACTTTGTTGTACAGAGTGGAAGTGAAAATTCGAGAGGGGAAGAGTGATATGATATTTTATCCATTTATCATCTGATCAGTTATAACGATAACGATAACATTTTGAGATAAATACGTGTATGATAATAATTTTTTTTAGCTAACAAAAGTCATATTTCCAGTGGTTATACGTGTTTATATCAAAATGTTCATCGGAGTTCAGGATTGTAGATATTATAATACCAAAGTAACATTTACGTAGTGAATTTTCCAAAAATCATCAAAGAATAGAAATTATGTATGAAATTATGCTAAATGCATATTTATGTAGGTGATGTAATTCGTTGGATTGATAAGTTTCCAGACCCACAGTTAACAATAGCTTATTTGCGTGCTATTGAACTTAAATAAATTTCTCTTTGTCATGTGGGGGAGATAGGTCATTATTTTGATGAGCTTCTACATAAGTCCTATACAGGGTGTTTCATAATTGAATGTTAATATTCAAGGGGGCGATTTTTGGGTTCATTTTAAAAAGGAAACTTCATATGAACCTATGCCGTAAACGTCTTAACTTTTGAGATACAGATGGTAAAGTTTTTAAAAATAAATCATTTATTACTAATAGGTATCTGTAATACCACTTTAGATATTTTAATGAAATTTGGCATGTATGTACTATGTATCCAGAGGCATTTTTTAACGTACCACATTTTTTTAATTTCCACCAGTGACGTTCGTACGGAATTTCACATGCCCATTTTAGCAGACATTGATGGTACGCCACTGATTTCTCTGAAAATAAAAATTATTCTTGAAATCCCCAATCATTTCTAAGCAAATTTGATCCCTTTGTTTTTTTCAGTCCGATGCACGGTGATCGCTTAAAAAATTAAAAACCGTTTCTCTGCATGATCATGACAATATGGTTAATATGACAAGATCACCGTGCAAAGAAAAAAATATTTTTTTAAAGTGAAAACCTTGTGTCGGATTGAAAAGAATGAAATCTGCTCATAAATGAAAATTGTTAAAATTGTCCTAAATAATTAGCTACAAACGAAATATCTGGCCGTGTCGTTGAGGCTAGTTAAGTCAGAGCTCCCACAAGCTCTGGTTGCAAACAAAAGTACTTTTCCGTTTGCGTACTTGCCCCATATTTCTGAAAATGAACTTCGAGACTGCGATCTGTAATTTTGGTAACCATAAGAGATTGAAGAGATCTCCATGGCTCGTTTAACTTCAATGTTGACCGTCGCACTCTCTTTCTTGTTTTTCGGACACACGCTTGCTTTGTGTCCTGGATTTTTACATTTAAAACAAGGAATCGTTACCTTTTTGTCCTTTTGTTTATCCTCGTCAGGGCGTCCGACGAAGTTTAACATTCCCATTTTTTCATATAAGTCTAATTGTATACCTTTAAAAGAAGGTGCATAATACCATTTCTATGCACGATATGCAAATAAGCAGAAATTGAAATGGGCAATCACTTGCCATAATGGGTACCTATGTCTGATATATAGATATGTAGATATTAATTCCAATGAAATATGGTTTAAAAGTATAGATACAATGTGACATTCCGATGACAATAATTAGTAATTATTATATTCAGTTGCAGAGGTACTACCTAATGAAGATAAAATATCCAGAATTAATAACATGTCCTCTTCCATCAGAAGTAAGCCGAATATTAAATTTTCAAGCACAAAACATGTTGGTTAACCGTGACCAATTCGGCCGACGGGTGTATATTATTAGAGTAGGTATGGCGTAACATTTTAAATTTTAGGGGGCAGTTTTGATTAGATACATTTTGAAACGTGGATAAATCAGAAACGGCCCTGTAAAGTTTGTCGAATTGATCATTGTTTGTTTTCCAGACAACTTCGATTCAACGCAGATGACAATCGAAGAAGTATTTCGTACAAATATACTAGCTTTAGAGGAAGTAGTGCGAGAGCCTGAAACTCAAATAGCTGGCGTCGTTGTGATTGTAGATATGGCAGGTTTAAAATTGCATCACGCCAAGTTTTTCACGCCGCATTACGCTAAACGAACGGTAGAAGTGGTGCAGGATACTTTTCCATTAAGATTCAAAGGCTTCCATATTGTTAACGAACCCTTTTATTTTGACGCATTTATGGCTGTGGTTAAACCGTTTCTAAAGGATAAAGTGCGAAAGAGGGTTAGAGTTTGAGGGTAGTAGTTTCATTACCTAAACGCATCCAATTTTCAGATTCAACTCCATGGGACTAATTTCAGCTCTTTACACGAATTCATTCATCCAGACATCTTACCCTTTGAGTACGGCGGAACGGCAGGGACTTTCGACAACCGCCCGTGGCACTTACAGCTACTTTCTCACGAAAACTACTTTAAGACTTTGGAGAACTATGGGTACAAAGTAGACAATAACGACGATTAAAATGTTTCATTTTGCTACGACACCGCAAATAGTCAACACTGGAAAAATTAGTTGCGAACCACCACTTCCAATTATTTACGCTAATGACTTACACAACACGATTCTTTTATACTATGACACTAATTGAATAACACTGTGCCACTATCACCGGGAATGGTCGATACCTAAATACATCCGACACCTTATTTCGGATGTCCAACCCACATCAAAGCGGAAATATCGCCGATTGTTTGATGGAAGCTTCCGATGTAATTTAATCAAATGCATAATTCTTCGCACACTTTGCAACTACTTTTTCTAGCTTCATTTAAAATTAATGCTTGGAGAAAAATATTTTCTATATCATTAACTTATCTTAGTATCAATTTGTAATACAATCGTTGACAGCATCTGAATGCATATATAAACAAATGTTAAATAAAATTGGCTTTGGCTGTGTGAGAAACTGTTAGTTATCATTAGGTTTAGGATGCATCCTAACTTTGCAAAACGCAAGAGTAAACGTCAATACTGGCATGCCTTAACGAAATAAATGCACATATGAATGAACTGGGATAATTTTCCAGCTGGTGCATTAACAAAGTAACATAATGACGTAGGGTATGAAGAAAAGAGTGTCTGCTAATAATAAGGAACGAATATACAGTTTGTAAAAAAACATCTCTTAGAGGGTGAAGAATAGGCGGCATACGAGTATATGGCAGATATTGGGCCACATTCTTACTTAGCTTATTTTTGGTATTCGAATGAGATTTTTCATTTTCAACTGCGCCTAAAAGTGAACGAGTCTGGGTCAAAGATTATAAATTTACTTACTTTTTTAAGAATACGGCTAAAAATTTACAATTGATTATAAGTGAAAGCTCAATTTCAGTTCGAAATTTAATTTGAGAAAGATAATTTCCATCCTCGGGAGGGGAGGGGGGGGGGGAATTCAAGTAGACGCGGTGAGTCATAACAAGTTTTGGATTTCTAGTGATTTAAACGAGCTCTAAAATTGTATCCTTATTAGGTACCTATATCAAAAGCTCTTAAATACCTAATAAATTGAATGCAATTCTTGAATTGATTCACAAGTGAAGGGGGGAGGGGGCGATAGGCCCAGCGGAGTAGCCGCAGTTACACGCTCGACAATGCCGATTTTATGGAGATGAATTAATAACCCCAGCATAGTACGTCCTTCCTTTTTTTGTGGATATAACTACAACGCTGTTTACATTCTAAAACGAGGCAAAGACTACGAAAATGGCAATAACTACGACTGCGGCGTGATTAAACAAAAACGCTCATAAATACCTCTAGTATTTGTTACACAAGGAGTTCTCGATGCGTTCGTCCGTGGAACTTTTCAACTTGATTGTATTCCTCCTTGGAAATACTGCGTTATCTTCATCCACAACGCGAAGATAACTCGATGAAGACGATGGGTCGCTTTTGGCTTATTTTCTTTCTTCGGGGTCCGCCTAATCGACTGATTGGCTTAACAGTGCACGACGCGCTTTGCTAAATCTACTAGTGTATGTTCGACACTACATACGATCGCCCACTTTCCCACTATTTACACTCATATTTATAGATATCACCGTATTAAAATCCGACCCAATCAGCGCTTTGTCTTACCACGAGGAATGGTTTAAATACACAAGCTTTTTGTCATTCAACATTCTGTTCCGATAGACACTTTTAAGTCGGCCTTATTTTAACTAAATGGCCCGCTTAATTTACTCATCCTAAATATACACACGTAATGCAGTATAAATATTAATTTACTCTATTTATATCTAGAAATAAGATTGCATTTCTAATTGCACTGTTGCCTTATATTTTTAAATTATGATTTTTACGAAAATTGTGCATACGGAAGTCTTGTTACATGTCTCAGTGCTTTATTTGCGCAACTTTAATACATTGTAACGGTGAATTAATTGCCAACCCGTACAATGCCGTACCATAATCAATCCGGTTTCTTCTTTAAGGCAACTAAGCCCATCTCCCAGTCCCACATATGCGTAAAATATTCATTGATGTTTCACATTCCTTGTTGTAAGTGATTTGAACAATTCAACTTATAATTTAAGATGAGACATTTAACAACTTGGTATTGAGTATTATCTTATACAACGTACTGAGAGGTTCCGCCCTGTATATACAACTTACGACGATGCACACATTTTTGAGAGTTGGCAATCACGCAATTTCTAGGTGGGAAAGAGCTGCCTAAAAAGCACGAACGGGGGTTACGTTGGGCATCTTGTCTTGAATGGCGGTCGTACACGCGTCGCTCCATAAATGTTTGTTTTTATTATGTGTTATTTAATGCAGGTAGTAATTTTTGCATTTCATTATATCGTATTTGTGTTTTGTATGCCGCGTTTTATATTTTTTGTGTGTTTCAATCTTTGTTTTTGAAATTTACTTGGTTTAACCGTAATGCAGAATGACATGTTTAATACCGTTATCCTTTATGTTTGTTATTGTTTACGTTTTTGGTGTGATGCTTGCTTAATTTATGTTTATTAATATTGATTACTTGGTCTTGTCCCTGAAGTAACATTTGTATAAGTTTTGATCACTTTATTTTAATATGTGTAAATTACCGATTCTTTTGATATATGTACCGACTTGTTGTTTGTAACTAACAATTTTATCCGTGAATGAAGCAGTCACGGGGGTGGTAAAAACTGTACTCAAAATTGAGTTACGATACCTAATTCCGTGATTGTCTTCGACATTCAACTGTAGGCTCCAAACCCCGAAACCAGGGGCGGGTTACCTATCTTACCGGAGCGGGATTAAACTAATCAAAGCCCTTCAGTTTAGAATCCATGTGCGATAAATGAGTTACGATTCGTAATTTACACATATTTCGTCTAGTTGAATTTGCCTACAAGGCCGTGTAATTTTCCATCTTGCTTTTAACAAAAGGACTTTATTGCACCAAATATGAGTCACATCCTGTGTATTTCACCCTTTCTTAGAACGTTGGGTTGCGTGGCACATCATTGGAAAGTGCTCTTGATTTCCTACAGGTATTATGTTCATTTTTCATGGTTTATGTTCTTCATGATTGTTTTGTATAGCCAATATTTCTTATGAACGTGTTCATTCACGTAAAAGCTTGAGTATCCATTTGAAGTAAAAAAGTCCCCCTTCGAACCAAAATCTACCAATTTTTGTGCTTTTTTCCCAAAACTATGTCCTTATTATTCAATCTGTTTCGTTTCTGTTGTGCCACCCTGTTACTTGGGAAATGTTGCAGTAATATAACTTAATATAAATTATTTAATCACCCAAAAATTCATTTTTTTTTTGTTTCTGGCCCGTACTAGTAATGACAACTTTCAAAAAACGGGGTTCATTTTCAATCGATTGATTTTTTCGAACCATTTTCGCACATTTTTTCTCATCCCCAATCCATTACAGTTTTAAGAATGGGTTGTCTGATTGAAATTCAACTGTTCTGCAATCAATCTGTGTTAGGGCATAGATTGTATTTCCTCTATGGTTAGGATTAGTCTTTGTCTTACTATCTCGTATATGTGCCCTTATGGTTAGGCAACACCCCTTATATTTGAAAGAATCGCAGTATGGCAAAATGCAAACCGCTCTGTGTATACAGCAACCATTAAGTCTTCGCAGATGCGGGAGAACAAGGATATTACATAACGAAGCTTGGCAAAGTAGTTAGCGTCAGTTAACTGTATTCGAATCGAATCAGAGTCGTGTTTGAGTAATGGTGCGGCAGGTTGTAATCATTTTATTCTTTCTTGTACTAATACTATTAATCATTAAATGTGATATAACAATTTGTTGTTATTTACATTTTGCATAAGATACTGCTGATACTTAAACATGGTGTACTTCAAACTCTTGTTTGGCCACCGTTTCTGAATCACGTTTGTTTGGTATACTATGCAGGCGATTAAGCCGTTACATTGTTTTCTTAAGTAAGTATTTATATTTGTGTATCTGTTCACGAGGAAGTTTATTATCCGTGTAACTTTGCTCTGTATGATCGATTTAACATTTCCGTGAAGGAAGTACCTCATACAGTCCGATTCTTTGCCGTAACTGTTACTCTCTTTTTCGTGCAGGCCACAGCTGTTGCAGCTTTGCAATACGAGAAGGAGGTCCTCTAATTAACCTTTCTTCTATTGCTTAATGCGGTTTTGCTTGTACAATAATAGACTATTTGAAAACATGAAATTTACCATTTTACTTGTTATTTTGACCAAACTAATCATAGATTTGACTATTGTACTTGATTTGATTTATTGTGCTTTTCACTTGTATTTTGTTGTCGTAACTGATTTATTTCTAGTATTTGTGTCGCTTATGCCAGGTTTTTTGTTCATAAAAGGTTTTCCAGTTATCGCTTTTTGTGTGCGTAATATATTTTAATGTTTTTGTCTCTTCCTTTTAAGAGCTTGTGGTGAGAAGTGCATGTAAGCTTGCGCTAAGTACCTATAACCTTCTTAGGTAAAATGGTAAACCAATGTACTACAATGTTCTTTTAAATAACACACTTTGTTGGTTTCTTACAGTAAATGGCACGTGAACGTCCTTATCGGTTACCTAAATGCAATCTCACTCTTTCAGAAGCCAATCCTGACATGTTACGTGATACCTATGGAACCATTCTATTTCACACCAATTCGTATTATATTATGAAATAAAAATTGATTCAATCTCTAAGCTGCACATACTTCAATCCAGCATCTAGCATCTTATTTCTTATTTGCCTAGACTCGAATTCGTGTTTAAGTACCTACATATTCCATATATTCAATATATTCATCATTTTGCTACGCTTTTACGCCTACTTCATGAATTATATTACGTTAAGTTGTTTACCACAGGTATTAGAATGCATCTATAGCTACGCTTGCTAACATTTTTCAATTTACTCCAGGTTATTTTTGCGTAACCTACATTTTGCCCATATAAAGTAGGTGTCTAGAATAAAATCCTGTTACGCCCATTCCATCGAGTAAGCGCAATTGGAAAGAAATAAAATATTAAGGTACATCCCGGCGACTAACAGTTACACCCCGGCACCGTTTTCCGGCGGTCATTACTATCTCGGCTTCGGTAATCTCGGCGACTATTGTTTTACCGGCATCGGCTTTCTCGGCAATGGACACTTTCCTCGCGACGCGACGTCAGCCCAACCCATATTATTTATGTATTTTTGTATATAATGACATACCTACTTTAGAAGCCATTGTCAAATTAGGTACCGAAAGAGGTTGTTATTGTGCATTGGCGCAATTAGGTAATTCTTAGAATCGAAATATGTAAGGAAATTCAAATAAACCGTCTTGTTTACACAATTGCCATCGCTGCATGGGCCCAGTTTTAGAAAATAGGGTTTTACTCATTTACCTACGCAGGTAGATACCAAAAAACTTTACCTACCTATAAATGACATCATTTCAA